ACTTTATCGGCTGAAAGTGGACATGGAATGCTAGCGTAGGAACTTTCCGTGCCTGGTTTTTTGAGCAGCAAGTTGCTGCGATTTTCTGTTGAATAAGAACAATTTTGAGAAAATTAGTTTTATAAAAACAATTTAAGTTTTAACCACGAAAAATATTTTAAATTTTGAATTCAATAATTTCCTAACTTTTGTATGGAACTTCATAGATTTCCCATTCATAGACAGACATGTATCCAGTAGAGTTGGCAGGTTGATGGAGTATGACGTATCTGGCTGGAGGTGTAGTAGAGGAGCAATTCAATTGAACCACCTGTTTCGAAGCAACCACCCCTGGATATTGAGCACAAAGGTCGTACATGCCTCTCACTGGCGGGTGAACATCCAGGGACCTGTTGCTCACTCCCACTATGAAGTAGTCCAGATCGTACCACGTTGTAAAACCTACTTTATCTAAAATGATGGAATTATTTTTGACTAATAGTTTACATACTTGCATTAATAACAACTAATTGCCCATAAAAAGTGTGAGCAGACGCCTTCAGTAGGGAGCCACGTTTAAAATGTCGTTAGTTTCAGGTGAGCTCTCACACACGCGCATCCAACATAGAACTTGTTCGCATTTTTAGTCATTGAACAGGAACATAATTTAATTACTTGTTCCAGCGTATAAGATAACATAGATTATTGAAAAGAGAAATCCAAGATCCACACCGATCCAGTGAGGGTCTGACTCGGGCAACGTCAGAGAACAAAGTACTGAGCTCCCATTTAGACCGTCAACAGCATAAAATGACGATTGTACTGTGTGCATGTCAATCCGAAAAGCAGAACTGTTGTACGTGTACTTGCCGAGAGCAATGTTCGACAAACTTGCTTCGTTCTCTGGTGTAATTATTCATGTTAAAATTCAAATCGCATAATATGAAAGTTTATTCAATCGACTAATTATTTAATTAATTAATTAATCAATCAAGTCAAAATCTTATATTTGTTTCTAAAAACGCATGTAGCAATCTTATTATTATAATCAGGCCAAGCAACCAAATGTATTAAAAATGACTAAGTAGTTTAGGATAGATGAACTACTCCCGAATTTCCAATCCCAAAAAGAAGGATATATAGGACAATTTCCACCAATAAGAAACTTCAGATGATGTGAAATTTCACCTGTTTCTACGGTCTCATCTATTCAGTTATCACCATGGTGCGAATACAACACGTCAGACTCTATGCTAAATAATCACGCGTCTTCAATTATTTATATGTTTTTATGTTATTATTATTATTATTATCCTTTAAGGTTGATTATTTTTTAATGGCTTTTATTTTTGCCGCTGAACAATCATTGGCCTCACACACACACACACACACACACACACACACCACACACACACACACACACACACTCATACATACACACACAGACACGCACACAGACGCACACACAGACACGCACACGCACAAATACACATTCATTCGTCCTGTGCGACGGGTTTGTAACAATTTATGCAACACTTACAACAATCACGACCAAATTTTTTTCCACCATCTGGTTAAATAACGACCCTCATTAAATGAGACCAAAAATTCTGGGTTAATGGACTAGGGCACAGGCATGCATCTAACTCCCGGGTAGGATCTCCAGTTTAGCTCAATCATACTTTACATCAATACCCTGCATATAATCGTATAATTTGCTCATATTTAAATTTATGCTCAAAATATGTAGTATTTGCAGTTTAAAATTTTATACTTTGATCTTCTAATACAACGATTCCTGTTTTCATTTAACATTTTGACGAAACCAACCTAGTAGGTAGGCATATGTTTTATTTATTCCACAAAGTAAATTTGATTTATTATTTAAAAATTTTATTGAGTTGTTCTCTTTTTTTTAAATGGAAAAAAAAACTTTTAGTAAAAAATTTTGCGAGTTTGTTCTCCAGTCTAGCTAAGAAACAGTATACTAACTAATATGGAATACGACAAACGTGTAGAAATTAGAAACACTGGGCAAAAATAATTATTCGAAAGAATGTCAATTTTTTTAAACGCAGAAAATTTCACACAATAGAAAATTATTTTCCTCGACCATTAAATTGCATTGTTAGGAAACTTTCAAAATAAGACGATGAAATAAAATATTTATCAGCTAATCATTTAATTCATCGTTGATGTTTCTTTTTCATATTTCATTTTTTATTTCTCGTTTTACTATTTATAAACATATTGTAGACTGTTGAAAAACTTATGTGGCCCGCCCTAACATTATAGACTCTTAGGCGACGCCGACTTCTTGGTGACTTTGTTCTCGTGAGCAGCATTTTTATTAAATGTCTGCAAAACTCAGTGTTTTAACAGAAAATACACAGTTTTATGTGAAAAATCGACCAAAAATTGACCTGAAAAAAAACAAAAAAGCGTACTTTTGGCCACACCACCATAATTTTTGGCATCCCCTGCAAAAATTATTTAAATATTTTTAAAATTTTGCCGCCCCCCCCCCCTTACAAATTAGTTATGATCCGCTACTGTATCTATCAAACAAATGTTTGTTAATAAAAAGAATTTAAAAATTGCCAATCTTTTTGTGAAATATATTATTGAGTTTGTATGCAAAAAACACTTAATGTAATAACGTTTTGATTTTTGTTTTTCTTCATCTATCACAAACAGCATCACATTCTTTACAGAGTTGCATGGAGACTCATTAGAGGCGCATAACAACTGGTCTCCATTAACCGTTTCTACGGAAGAGTCATAAATCAAACACTTGTCACATGACTCTACTCATCATACATCTGTCAGCGTTAGAAAAAAAATGTTTTAAAAAACATTAAAAATGAACCAACCGCATGAAATTTAAATTGATAAGTTCAGTTTGAGATTTGACAATTGTATTAGCTAACACCATAAGGTCAGACAGAGCTTTAAAGAAAAAAATTTTTTTTATGTTGCTTTTGCTGATGACATGGAAAATGTAATGAAAGAATAAAAATATATAGCAGGATAATTGAAACATTTCATCGCGACGCAGCATAAGCTTCGGCGATTATAATTAATGGCTCACGCCTCGATGGTCCAGCGTTTATTTTGATTGATGACTTTGCGGGTTGCCCTCTAACAAAAAATGTTTCAAAAAGGTTTTTCAAGTTTACTACATGTTTTTTCTACTTTTGAATATTTTGCAATTCTGAGAACAAACATTTTTTAAATTGTAAGAATCTTTTTATAAGTTGTCGTATTTAACGAGGGTACAAAAATTGAGTTGTGAAACACTTGTACTCACACCCAGCAGATTCTATTACTTTAAATTAAAAAATTAACAAATCATTAATTAGTTAATTTATTTCATAAAAATAAATATGAAAACAAAAATAAAAACATGTTGAAAAATAAATAGTGAGCATAAAATTAATCTAAAAAACATTATGTGGAGTCATAATAAGTTATATATATATATATATATATATATATATATATATATATATATATATATATATATATATATAAGTTGTTTTTTGGGGTTTAGTTCTGCAAGATAATTTGTCTTACAGTTATCACATTGAAAATCTTAAATCAAAAATCAATAAATTCATAGGTATACTTTATAAAACCAAAAATAAGATTAATTCCTCAATATTAAAAGATTTGTATTATAGCTTTATATACCCTTATATTCATTATTGCGTGATCATATGGGGAAATAGCCCTGCTTATCAGCTAGATCCCCTGTTAAAATGTCAAAAACGTTTTATAAGAATTTTATTCGATTTAAAATTTAATGACCACACCTCTAATTATTTTCAGATTACAAAACTACTTTCAATAAAACAAATTTATTACACATGCATCTCAATATTTATATTTAAACTTATTAACAACTTAATTCCAAAAAATTTTAATAATTTGTTTATTTATAGTAACGCAATCCAGTTAAAACACACAAGACATACCTCAACATTTTATATTGAAAAAAACAGATTGAAACTTATCAATAGTAGCATAAGAGTCGTCGGACCTAAGGCGTAGAACAAATTACCTGAATATTTGAAAGAAGCAAAATCCGTTGTAAAATTTAAAAAAGACATCAAATCCTACTTTTTAACATTTAAACCCCCTTAATTTTTTGTGTGGGCTCAAGTACGTGTGTGTATATGTGTGTGCGTGTGTGAATATGTGTGTGCGTGTGTGTGTGTGTATATATGTGTGTGTGTGAATAAGTATGTTTTACGTGGGTCTATATATATATGTTTGTGTTTCAATAATTAAAAACGACATTCTGATAAAAATGTAAGAGTTGATTACTTATTAATTATGATTCCATTTTTGATTTTTTAGGATTTGTAATATGAATGTGAGTTTACATGCACTAAAATATTTAAAATAGGCTCTTATTTTTACAATTGTCACTGGTAATCATTACAAGAAAACCATATTTTCTTTTCGATTTCCAGATCATTTCTTTTCATTGATATCATTCCTTTGATTTCTTCGTATTGATTTGATGAAATAAAAAATGTCAAATATATATATGTATGTGTGCGTATGTGTGTGTGTGATTTGTATATGCGTATGTGTATATATGGTTATAAAAACACTTGTGTTAAGTATCAAAGTAGATATACCTTACACATACATTTTGTATAACACACACATGCACACACATTTACATATACATGCTTGTGAGTATGGACGTGATCAAATCAACAAAACACACAACCAATAAATTCGAATGTTCAACCAAAACACCCATCCATCCAAATATTTATTAAACAAGCAACCAACAAACCAACCGGAGAATATCAATTCAATAAAACGAAAACTGAACATTGAAATTTTTATTACTAAATAGCAAAACAATACAAAAATAAAATGAACGACAGTTTTGCTTACATGCTATAATTACATAAATGCATTTCTCATTTATCTGTTACGGACAAGTTTTCTCTTATTGTTGGCTACACAGATTTGGTGGTATTAGAAGAAACATAAATCACATGCAGTATACCCAATTTGTGACGATGATCACGGTTTGATGGGTCTGATAAACCACATTCAGCTCAGTTTTTCAAGCAGTCAATTTTTGACATCCGCGTGTTTTGAGTTGTCTGGATTTACTGATTTCTTGATTAAAAAACCTTTGAAGAGTCTTTGTTGTTGAAGCCGGTCGTCCTGGCATTATTATTATTAATGTAAAAATAATATAAGTAAACAAAACATAAAGAACAATTCACATATCTGTATATAATACTAAGAAAGCGTATCATTATTACTTTGACCAAAGTCAAAATTAACTAATAAAAATGAATTGTAAAGAAATCTATAATTATTGATACACTGATAAGGCAATTAACAGCTAAATAATCTTTTGACTTATGCACTGGTTAACAATTTTTTTTACTCGCCTTCTATTTGCATAACATTGTCTATTTGGAGATTTATCCAAACACATAACTACAATTGGAAATGGACTAAAAATTAATAAAATTATTCATTTTTTTAAAGACAAACAAGCAAAAAAATTAAATAAAAAACGCTCCATCAATTATATAATTTCGTTAATAAATTAAGTTTTTCAACTGGTCCTATTAATCGCCTTTTGTTATACAATTGGTGAAATTGTAATTCATTTCAATACAAAACAATAATTTCATTTTCAGGGTTTTTATAGCGGATGTTACTTAAAATCCTCGTTTGATTTTGCAGGAACTTGCGACAAAAACTTGATAATTATGATGAGTGTACATACAGTTAGTGTATTGAATGATAAAGTATGGCTGTGAACGAAGTAACACATGTTATGTATGCATGCGCTCAGGTGAGAATGAAGTAAAACTGTGTGCATGTACTGGGAATGAATTAACACATGTGTGTATGCATGGGCATGGAGAGAATTGAATAACCGTATGTGGAAATTGGAACGTGTGGCTACATTAGAAATTCGAATGACTGTTAGACGTAACTTGAGTTAAAACATTTTCTTTTATTAATAAAATATAAATTGAAGAAGTTTAATTTCGTAATAGAATCAAAGAATATTAGAAATCTGTTGTTGATTAAAATTCTAAGAGATAATTTCAGAAATAAAGAATTTTAAGATAAATTTAGGTTGAAACACAACATACAGTTTTTTCAATAATGGTTGGAGGTGGGAAATGTTTTCACACGAAGACAAAAGGACTTTCGATATTTATAAACTTTAATGCTTAATTTTGACAGGTGGAATTTGAAAAGTCAAATGTTGAGCAAGCGTCGTGGGCACGTCATAGCCTTCTTTGAAGAATCTTAGATATAAAAAACTCAAAAATCTTATCGTTCATGAAAAAATATTTGAATGACATTGACACTGTTAATTTAAAATGATAATAATATTGAAGAAGTCAAGATTATTTTAAAATCAATGTTGACTTGAAAAATGATGAGGCCAAACTGCGTAAGAAGATCGAACAAAAATTTCCTCGTACAGGAAGAACTAAAATTTGTTATCGCAGTATTGCAACGTTAATTGCCCTTGGAAATAATAACATAGAACAACGTTCATTTTTTACTTCGATTGTCAGTTAAATTTTACAAATGGCGATTTTGACCATGATGTATCCGATACTACTGATGACCATAATGATGAAAAAGAGGAGTATATTGACAACAACAATTGTAGCAATGATAATGATGAAGATGAAATCATCGTTGATGACACAGATGATGTCAAGGTTGAAAATGTTGTTATTTACTATGACGATGATATTGCAAATACTGAAGTTGAAGATTTTGTTATAAGACAGCAATTAGATGATGTCGTCGCTGATAAAAGGGATGTTCAAAATGTTGTCATTAATGACGAAAATCAAGTAGCAAATGCTGCAGATGAAGATTTTGTTATTGACGATTTTCCAATCGATGAAATGGAAAATGTTGTTCATGACTACGTTCTCCCTAATGTTAAGGTTGACGATGACATTATAAATGATTATGATGACGTCAACGTCGACCTAAATAATGATGTTGACGATGATATTTGCCAAATATTCAAGTTCAAGGCTGGCAAGAAATTGTCGATCATTAATTGGATCGGCATCGTTATTATGGTTGGAGGTGGAAAACATTATTACCGGAAGAAAAAAACTTTTAACATTTATTAGCCATGCGAAAGGAGAAATTTCCGATGTTCAGCAAGCATCGAGGGCACGTCGTGGTTTTTATTGAAGAATAGTACTTACGGAAAACCAAAAAATCTTTGCGTTCAAAAAACGATCGGGACGAATGTTACTTAGGATCCTTGTTTGAATTTAATAAAATTAACGCAACCACTCGTTTTTTCATGAAGAGTGTACATACCGGAAAGAAGAGTATATTTTAATAATAATAATTAACAATAGTGTTGATGATATTTTTCGTTCAAAAGCACTATCGGAATAACACTGACACTGTTGATTTTGATAGTTCTAACGACTACTATTAAAATATAAATGAGGATGAAGATGATTATGACGAAGATGATGATGATACGATTAACGACATTAATGATTTGAATTTTATGACGATGACGTATCCAATACTACCGATGACGATTATGACGAAGAAAGAGTATATTGACAACAACAATTATAATGATGGTAATTGTGTTGCAAATGCTGAAGATGAAGATTTTGTTAGTGATGATTTTCCAAATGATGAAAATCAAAATGTTGTTATCAATCATAAATATTTTGGTGCAAAATTTTCATCTTCTTGTTTACAAACTGATTTTTGAAAATGGAAAAAAATGCATACAAATTAAGGTCAACAAAGCAGGGTCGGATGTAGTGAACACTCCTGTTAAAAATAGAGAAAGTTAATACAAATAATCCAGCTTAGGCAGTTAAAGTTTTCGGTTACATCATGCGGAAGGAAGGTTTTGAATATTTAACAACTACTGGTTAGATTGCAGGATCGCGGCCAACAACGAATTACATTCGTGATGTCATTGTGTCACTTGTTGAACATCGCCACATTTCACCTACTATCAAATGTTGAAAATCGGGTTCTGTTGAGGTAGATGGTCGCCAATGTCCTGAAAGGACAAGAATTAGACATGAGAAAAAGATGAAGAAACTTTTCAGAAAAATTTATTTTCATCTTTATTGTTTTGGCTCAATTTTTTCACGTCTTAAAATGTGAATAAAAATACTGTGGCTAAATGTATTAATGACTAAATATTTGTGGTAGTTTCTTAGTTGCCGAAATTTTAAATGCTTTACTGACAATCTACCTACATATGATTATATTTAACAGAAGAACTAAATATGGACTGAACATACATAACATTGCATAACATAAAAAGATAAATGAAAGAGCGCCAACTTGTCACCAATGTCATAAAAAGATAAAGCACGAGAAAGAAAAATGTTCATGCTAAAGTTGGCCTAAATATTGATGACGATAATTGCCAAATTTATATGTTCTGAGCTGGTAAGAAATTGTCGACCATTCATTGGATCGGCATCGTTAACATGTCAACTGAATCTTGAAAATTTTGTTATTTTTATATACTTTTGAAAATTTTATTATTTAATGTAATAAACTCTTAAAAGTTAATTTAAAATGGTAAGTTGATTTCTTTATTTAAATTTCTATAAAAATTCGTAAAAATTTGTGGACATTATTTAAATGAAACTTGTTGAAATTTTTTCAACTTGTTCCATTTAAATAGAAAATTTTCTACTTTATTGTAATTGCTTTAAAAGTTAAAACGATTGTCTAAAATTATTGCAATTTCAAACAAATTTGATAATTCAACAAAAAATATCCTTTCATTAACGATTTTGATAATCTATGTTGAATTTTGATATTTTTATGAGTTGTTTTTGTTTAAAAAGTTGTTTTTGGCTTGTTGTTATTGCTAGATCATAATTTAATTAACATAATTCGTCACTCAAACATAACATAGTTCGTCACTCAATTTACCTATTTTTCAGACTTTGTTTGCAAATTAGTGTAATTAAAAATATAAGAAATCCATGACTTTTCGTTTGAAAAGAAAATATGCAGACTATAGAGAATGAGTATGTGCAATTGTGCACTCATTTTGTTTTTACCATCGTAAAACTGTATCTAAAAAGAAAACAATTTTTAAACTATTTTTTATTTCCAGTATTTTTCAACTAATTCTCAATTACTGCCTAGTTGTTAACTACTATTTCACTACTTTGAAATATTTTCATTCACCAGATTCATTTGCAAAATGTTTTTTACAACTAAATAAACAGTTATATTCCCAAAATAAAATATTCTAAAATTTATTAAGTGCTTCTAAGTCATTTTTTGAAAGAATCATTTTATCAATAATATGGTTATCAGACACCCAGCAGCGTTTATCACTGAAAACTTATCCTGCCACACTGAAGAGGTGCTCAACTGCTTCCGAGCTAGGCAATGCTGAGTTTAGTTACACACGAAAACAAACTTTCAATATTCCTACAGGAATTAGTCAAGTAGCTATTGAGTTCATTTGCAAATATACAATTTTAAGAATTTAAATTTTAATCATCTTTTCAAGTATTATTTTCTGCACTATTTTGGCGAATTTTTTTTGTGAAATAGATTTTTGGATGCATATAATGACTCATTTATATGAATTTGTTTCAATTTTTGTTGGAATAGTCTCTACTAACGTTTTTTGCTGAATTGTGCTTTTTAACACATAGCCATAAATAAGGCATAAGCTTTGCTGTTCCTATAAATAAAAGTTCAATATTTTGCTTTTACTTTAACTGTTACTACAGCTACAGTACGATTTTTTCCACAATTTTAAAATTCACTTGTAAACTTTGCTTCACTGCACAACTAACCTCTACTCTACTTAGTCTACTTTCTACTAGCATCTGAGCAGCATGCAATCTGTACAAATCAATTTTAAAACATGTAACTACAAAAACTGTACTGCCAACAAAGAAAAAGTAGTCATAACAATTATTTAAATAATTATAACTTACTTTTACTTGTTTAAAAAGTTGAAACAATTTGGCTAGACATAACAATTACGAATTAGTAGAGATATTTCCCGAAATTTTTCGTTGTCTTTCTTTGTAACCATGCCTGCAAAACACAATTTAATTATTTGACTATTCATATTACAACTTTAAATTATGTTTGAAATCACTTTAAAAAGGCAAAAGAAAATTTGAGAAGGAACAGCATGACCAGATTTGAAAGACAGCCACCACAAAGTAGGGATGTACTTTATAGAATTTTAAAATATAATATATGATAATTTATTTTGTAAAAAAATGTCCAAACAGTTAAAAATGTAGTTTATCTTATTTAAAAATAGTTAAATAGTAGTTAATAACCACTGGAAAAAAGTAGTTACTAAAACTACACATAGATAACTACTAGTTAACTAATTGTAGTTAATAACTGCCTATCTCTGCATGATTAGAAAATAAAACTTAGTTTCATTCTGTAGCAACAATTGAAAATATTTGTTAATACGTAATTGTTGCTTTTATAAATTTTTTTACAGTCTTGATAGTTTAAAAATAGTATTGCAAATGGACTTAAACTTTGCAGCTGTATATAAAAAAGCTAAGCAATTAGAGAATACTTCCTAGTTCTTTTATTTCAAAATGTCGTTTTTGTAGTTGAATGTCAATATTTTTAATATAACTTTTCTTGTTATTTGCTTCTGTGTTACTGGTAAATTATTGAATTCTATATTTCGACGTAAAAAGTAAAAACTTTTCACAGATTCCTAAATATTTTTTTCATAAATTTTATCGTTTGGTGGAGGACGCTTTCCCGCACCAAACCCATCTTGAATCCGCGACTGTTGCTGTTATTATATTATTAATGTTTAATTATTTGCATAACCTAGTCTTTGGGATTTCGTAGAATTTATGACAGCAAGAAATCCACCAATTACAAGTAAGTATGCATAGCAGCTTGATTTGTGAAATAAAAATATCTATTTTTTTTCATCAAAAAAGATGCAAAATTCAGTTTTAACATTTTAAGTACAATCTTGTTATTTTTAACTGTTTAGTTATTCAACGACCGAAGCGAAGTGTAGTGTTTCAAGTTGGTGCATTCTTTATTATCTGTATTTATTTTTTTTAAATTTGTTTTAAACACATTCAAACGCAAATATTTAATCAACCAATAGCATATTTTCATTTTTTTTATTTTATAAATTCTTAAAAATTGAAATTGAAAAATTAAATTTGAAAATTTATTTAGCATATAAGCGAATTTATATGATGAAGAACTTCTAATTACATACTTTTATCAATATTAGTCTAACATAAACTAATTCAAAAAGTATTTTGTTAACATATATGTTTAACATAAATTAATTCAACATATATATTATTAACAATAAAATATTTGCACCTTGTACACAAAAAATACGTACCAAAAAGATAATGATGATCATTTCACGCTTGATAAACGTAGCAGAAAAAAAAACATAAAATTCTACTATACGGTTGGTTGGTTGGTCGTATGTGAGGATATTGTTAGCAGCTCGCGACTTGAACGAGAAATTACAAAACCGTGAAAAGTTAAAAGAACGCTAAAATGTTTGAAAACTGTTAAAATAGCTAACAAATGTTTTATTTTTTACTAAATTTGCCGTAAATAACTGCAATAATTATTATTTTTCTATTATTGTTAATATTATTATTAAAATTAAAATATCTTCAAAAAATTTTCTCCAATTTGGCTGCCAAGAGCTGTCTATCAATGAAAAACTTTATTTATAAAACAACAAACCATCTATATTGTCAGTGCACAGCAACCGGAGTTGTCAAATTTTAGTTAAAGATAGAACCGGATTAAGAAATATTTTCAGTTCAAACTTTTTAGTATTTTTATAGACTTCTTTTCTTCACAAACCAGCTAGCTATGAAGGGACGACTAGATCTGTAACATGTATAAAATTCAAATCATCAGTTAGACCTTGACCTTCATTATTTTTCATTTTTCAGACAATTCATCGTAGAAGATTTTTTGTCTGTTTAAAAGAAATAGTGTATTACAAATAATCTAATAACACTGAACAACAAATGAGAACTTTTGGAGGTATCTTGTTATCACTTAAACTTCTATAGTGGTCGAATCCCTTCAACTTTTTTGTTGCTAAAACCACCAATTCCGTTCACCAAATGATTGCAACAATTTTATCATTTACACCATCTCTTGCTAAAAAATTTAATTTGTTAGTAATTTTATAATCGTTGCCCTTTTTGTTAAACTCATGACTTTGTAAGAATTTTCATCAATCAGGTTGATTTTTGGAAAACATTGATGCCAATTGCTTCTATGTTTTAAATTGTTACTGGCGTAGATAGTTTAATAGGAAATTATCTGAAAAAAAATTGAAATTATTATTTAGGGATTGTAGCACAAAAGCTCACAAAAAAAACTTTTTAAAACTTTTTAAAAGAAGCGGTAGGAGCAATAAAGGGAAGATTTTTCGGTTCAAGAGTTATTGAACATTGGAAAATGCCTGATGAAATGACTGTTACAACTTCTACAGGACAGTCATTCAAAGTCACACTTAATTTTATTTCATGTATTTGTCATAATGACAGAGTGGCTCTCACAAAAAACAATATAAATTCTGTTATTATATACAACCAAAAGAAGATCGTAAAAAAATTCACGTATCTTTGGTCAGGCCTTCTATATATTGCGGAGAATCTTGTACCTCTACAACGTCGATTCGGTGTTAATTTAACGCGAGTTCGTTACTTATTTGTTTATTTTCTGCAAATCTTTCAAAAAATTTCTTCTTATGGCTTTCAACAAAAAGAACGCTCGACTATCTCCAGAGGTGAATAGAATTCTGTTAGTAAAAACCCTTCCCTACAACGGTGGATGATTTACACGAAATTTTTGGCAAATTTGGAGCCATCAGACAGATAAGAATTGGAGAAACGGCTGGCACAAGAGGATCGGCGTTTGTCATATACGAAGATATACTTGATGCCAAAACTGCTTGTGAAAACCTCTTAGGCGTTAATGTGTGCAACCGCTATTTAGTGGTCACGTATTACCAGCTAAAACAACTGAAAAAGTGAGATAGTCAAGCCATCAACTTCATTAACTATTTTTATTAATTAACTAATTATTTTTATTAACTTTTTGAAATAATGCTTTAATTAATTAATAATATATTTTTTAATCAAGGAAACTGTTCATTCTATAATTATATTTTTCTTTTGTTGTTTTTTGAAAAATTATATAACACCAAACAAATATCAGTTTTTAGCTTTAAGATGATTTATTTAACATTGATGTAATGTGCAGTTGTAATGTTGTAGGAAGTGTCGAGTGGTGCGGTCGGCCTTTCAATGTGGTGCAAGTGTAATTCACATAAGTATCAACACTGTTATAAAATTTTATTCCACAAAAATTTAGCGTTATCGTTATATCAAATTGATGGAAAAAAAAGTGAATACAATGGTTTGGGTAAAAATATGATTGGAATATGATTGGAAAAAAAAGTGAATACAATGGTTTGGGTAAAAATATGATTGGAATATGATTGGAAAAAAAAGTGAATACAATGGTTTGGGTAAAAATATGATTGGAATATGATTGGAAAAAAAAGTGAATACAATGGTTTGGGTAAAAATATGATTGGAATATGCAAAATATTGCTATTCAATATAATCTGGAGATTTTGCAATTAAACTTTTTAAGCAACATTTCAATTAATAAAACAGACGTTCCAAGATTTACTGATTGATAACGACAGCAATATCTTTGCTGGTCGCACTGACAATCTGTTTACAGTCCAAATATTAAAATGAAGTTGAAGTTAAAAACACGTGCTAAAATTAAAACCACGTGCTAAAGTTGAACAAATCACGTGTTAGAGTTAAAACATCGTATAAAAATTGAACACAACCACGGGCTCAAATTAAAACGACGGATTTATTACGGACCCAATGAAAACCATACCACTTAAGTATAAAGATAAAAAGCAATAAACAAATATAAAAACAAAACCACAACATTTAATTGAAGATTTATTCATTTTGGAAGATTAAATGAGAAAAAAATTTCGTCTCTAAAGTAGCGGTATCGATTCTATTTTAGCTTTAAATGTCTGGCCGCAATCAAAATCGCTACTCCGCTGTTAAAAACCCTGCATCATTCCTGAGAAACAACTTTTCAATGTGTGCAACGTGGGCTGGTCTTTTTAGGAGTCGAGGCAGAGTTGGAATAAAGTGCCAACCTGCCTGATTATATGTACTTCAAGTGCAAGTACTTTAAAATAATACTTGATTAGTACTCGAGTACAAGCGTCAAATAATACATCACAGCTCTACAATATCTTTTTGCTAATGTCAGTTTCATTTCGGTCTAATTCAAAAGTTTCACATAAAAGCGATGTTGAAAATTTGTAATTCAAGCACTACGGTGATTAATTATTAAGATTAAATTTTTATAATTTTTTATGTAAAAACTGAAATAAAATGCTTAAAAATGTTTTCTTACGATCGAAAAGATTCAAACTTGAACTTTGAAATTTCAAGTATCTTTGGTCAAGCCTTCTAAGCATTGAGAAGACTTTCGTAACTTTGAAACGTTGATACTGCGTTAATTTAGCCTGAGTTTGACTGTTTATTTTATTGTATCTTTTTTATTTGAAATCGATCTATTTTCGGTGCATCATTGAAGAAATTAATGAATATGAATGGCTTTCAACAAAAAGAATAACGTTCGCCTATCCCAAGAGGTGAATAGAATTTTCCTTGTGAAAAATCTTCCTTACAGGTTGACAACTGAAAAAATGTATGATATATTCGGAAAATATGGAGCCATCAAGACAAATAAGAGTCGGAAACACAGCGGAAACCAGAGGAAGTGCATTCGTCATACACGAAGATATATTTGACGCCAAGAATGCATGTGACCATCCCTCTGGCTTCAACGTCTGCAACCGATATTTGGTGGTCTTGCATTACCAGCCAAACAAGCAGTACAAAAATCTGATTTATAGAAGAAAAAGAATGCAGAGGAAATTAATTATATTAAAGTGAAATATGATCTTAAATCTCCAGAACATGAATAATGAAGTACTCTATGCCTATTTGCTCTATGTCTTGGCATTAGGGATTAAAAAATTGAATTACAATTGATCATCATTTATAAAATAAATATTTCAAAATGTACATATGAATTGTTTTCAAAATATAATGAACATCTAAAAACATCAAAACATGTAGTCATTCATATGGATTGTAAAAAACTGCAAAAATTGCTCTAAAGAAATATTCTATAACATATTTCAATTGAATATTATTTGCTTATTCATTGTATATTCAAATCTGCTTTTGTTTTTCTGGTCCTTTTCTCTGGAACTTTCTACCTCCTTCTCTGACGACTTCTCCAACACTTACGAAGTTCAGAGCGGATCTCAAGACCCATCTGTTGCAAAATTCATTGAGGAGCGCTGTTGAACATCGCGGAAATAGCGCTTTACAAGCTAATTGATTGATTGATCTTGGATCTACGACTGTTACTGTAAATATATTGTTAATTTTCAATTATTTGCATAATGCTAGCATATTTTCATTTTTTTTAGTTTTTAAATTCTTAGATTTTAAATACGAAGATTGATTTTGCAATAAGGTTAAGACGCCGTGTAAATCATTGCAGCTCGCCTTCTGTGTCGTGCACATCATTAATCACATTAGAAATATTCACTCAACATTTCATCATGTTCGGAACGAGTTTGAGCTCTGGTGAGAGAGCTTTTCATTAATTCTAAATTTTCATAAACATTTTCGATAACTTGAACAGCCATATTATATTTAATTCATTTGATTTGATAGAAGAATTTCTATAATCTGTCGTTCATTTTTTGTTTGTTCATCATGGCTTAAACTAAAATGTTGAAAAAACTATTCAAAATTCCTGAAGATAAAGCTAAAATGAGACAAAAACATTTGATCGGCAGAAAAAATTTTGTTCCACAAAATTTTGTTCCACAAAAATTTACCGTTAGCAACAATATAATCACAATACAATTCAGATCAATCTAGATATATATAACAAAATTAACTCACTGAACTTGTATGAAATACTGACACACACACGCACAATCACACACGCACAAATACACACACACCCGCACAATCACACAATACATACATACATATCTTGAAAATTACAAACATGTCAAATAAATACTGTTTGTCATTCGTGTGTGAGTGAGAGAGAGAAGAGAGAGAGAGAGAGAGAGAGAGAAAGCAAGTGTGCGTGTGTGTGTGTGCGTGTTGGTGTTTGTAAAATTCCGAAGAATAATTCAGTAAGTGCCAGCATGAAATGTGTGTATTCCAACTCTGGTTAATTGAAAACAAATGCGTCTGAACTTCAAACATAATGACTGCAGTGACATCAAATACATCAACAACATTAAAATAACGACGACAGCAACAACCGCATCATCGCCGTCTGCGCAACAACAACAACTATTACACTACTGCAACAACTACAACAACAGCAAAGCCAAAACAACTACAACAACAACTATAACATCACTATCATCATCACCATCAGCAACATCAATAACAACTACTTCTATCATCAAAAAAGTATTTATGATACCAGTATATCACGATAGGTGATGAGACACTATGGGATATATTTATATTTCTATTTGTATCAATCATCCACACAACAGCAATAATAATAATAATTATGATAATAATAATAATAGTAATAATAATATCTAGATGATAATATTAATAATTATTAATATTACTGTTGATAATAATCACAATAATGTTATCATTTTTATAATTTTTATTACTTTTTTTATATAGTTTGTAAGCATTTTTCCCTCTTTGCCCGCAACCGCCAGCACAAGTAAGCCGATGTTTCTGTAAATAATTAAAAAATAATAATGAAATTATTCATAAATATTAGAAAATAATTATATTATTATTAATAACAATAATAATATTATTATTATTTATATTAATAGTAACTGTAACAATAACACTAGCAACAAGAACAACAACAACAACAACATAAATAATAATAACAGATGATAACAAGAATGACAACACCAACCAGACATTTTTGCAAAACTTCGACCAAACCCACGTGCCCTTCATGACCTCGTTGAACTTTGGGGCCATTATGAAGTAGGCCACCGGAAAACAAAAGACGCTAAATATTTCGAACATGTGGGAGATTGTAGTGAAGTGAAGAAAGATGTTAATGTTTAGGTCGACGAAGAATAGTGCGATAGTGCTTAAGATATACCAGGGGAGGAAGAGGATGATGTAAATGAGGGAGGCCGTCGTTAGCATTCTGGCTTGCTGTCGAGTAGAAATGTTGATGTTAAATTGTTAATAATAATTTTTTTTACATGTTTTGTTGATGTTTCGTGTTGTTGTTGTTGTTGGGCGTAGGTTCTGTTGTTTTTTTGATGTTAACGTAGTTTTAAATGTTGTTTTGTTAATGTTGTTTTAATGAATGCGTGCTGCGTGTGTTTATTTTATTTGCTGTCTTTTTACCGGTTTCATTTGACATTGTTCATTTTAAAGGGTATGTATGTTTTGTTTGGAGATACCGTTATAGCAGTGGCCTTGTCAAAACCGTTTTTCAAAAGTAGTTCTTTTGAAAATTAAATCAATCAAATCAAATCAAATCAAAGGTGATATTTTTAAGCCTCTTAACTATTACTCATTGGCGACATTATTCCATCAAGTTTTTAAAAACCACCATCAATAGAAATTTCATTCTAAACCTGTCTGTCTTTCAGCTCGTCTCCACCATCTTCCTCGCCAACCACGTCGTAACCGCCGCCAACTGCCACCACACTGCTCTCCTGATTGAGTTTCCACCACATCAAGCCGTGCGTGATAGCCAGGACAGCCACAGGAATGAAGTACTCAAACAGGCCTGCAACAACCAAATACACGCTGACAACTTTGCTGCCTAAAAAATGTGGTCCTTCTAGGTAGCAATAATTTTGACACGTATGCTCGTTTTTGTAGAATCTGAGGTTGATGATGACGATGGTGGTGGTGTAATGGTGATGTTGAATGATATGGCGATTGTTATATTAATGCTGATGATGTTGAGTGTGATGATGATAATGTTAGTGATGATAATGGTGATAGTATGATGATGACGATGAATTGACCCCACAAATAAAACCCAATTCATCGGAAAGAATTTGCAATTGAACCCAGCAAAAAAAAATTAAAAACTCCTAAAAGAAAGACTAACACACTCATAGAATAGAACGGTTGCGCGACGAACATCGCGAGACACCAGGTCATGAGACAAATCAGTAAAACATACTTCTTATTTGGTTTGTATTCGATTGTGGGGTTCATGACTGCCTTGCACTTGTAGACACTCATCGCCACCATGCTGAAGGAAATCACCATTGAGAGGCTCGACTTTTTGGTAGAAGAATTCAGAATTCATGGTGGAAGAATAATTTTAAATAAATAAATTTTTTTGAGATTTTACTATTTAATTAGAAATTAAATTAAAATTAATTGTAAATTAAAATTATGTCCTCGACGATAGACTTGATTTTTAGGTAGAAAAAATAATAAGGTAAAAAAATAATTTTCATTAAAATAAGTTGGAACATTTCCAATTTCAAAAATATAAACTAAAATATTTTCCACCAACATGTGCGAAGTTTCCAGTCTTACAAACGAGCCAACCTCCGGTCCAGTTCCACCTGCTCTCAACGGACACGGAATAGTAAAGAAATGACATGAAAACCATCACCAAACCAGCTATGCTGTGATTTGTGATGAAAATATTAATCGTAGTCTTCTTCGTGACAGCAATGGCGTAGAAAAGAAATAGACTAGCAACAAGGCAGATGATAAACAGGATGATGTAGATGACAAGAAAAAATTTTTTGGTTGCAGGGTTGAAGACTTCTGAACTGGGGTCTGGGACGAACTCTGTGGTGCTGCAATTTGGGAAGGCGGTGAAGTTTAGGGAGTAGTCATAATTCTCCATGGCGTGTTGTGTTTTTGAAGGGAACTAATATTGCAAATTTAAAATTAATTCACTCCAAAATGTTTTTAAATGAATTGTAAATCATTTAAATTGATTTTTTTTAATTTGAAAACCGTTCTCTACAGAAAAAAACTTTGAATGTGATTATAATTTGAAACGCGTGTACCATTAAAACAAACCAACCAATGGACATATTAAACCCATAATGTTAAATGTATATGGAAAAAAGAGAGAATGAGAAGAGAGACAGAGAGAGTGAGAACCGTGGAAGGATGATAAATATGACGTGTTATCTAACTACAGCATGTATGCAGTGACAGTTTAATTGGCAACAAACATTTCAACTACGTTAAAAATAACAACAACAACTACAACAATAATATAAACATTACCAGTATACACAACAGAGAAAACAAAATTAAGATAGAATAGAGATAACATCATCATCTAAGACCCGCATATATATTCATCGCAACAACAACATCATCCCAAGCCAGAAAGAGAAACATAAATGTACCTAAATAAAACAACAAACACGAGTTAACAGTAACAAAAATTACAATGTTACAACTACTACTACTATAACCGAAACTACAACAACTACTACTACAGCTTCTACTACTACTACCACTACTACTGCCCCTTCTACTAATAATGTGAACATATTTTATTTATTCAATCGACAAAATAAAATTCAAAATAATAAGAAATGACAAATAAAATGAAGTTTAATAAAAATTGAGTTTTAACGAAATGTACGATCCTCCTAAGCTCGATGACGTTACAAGTGCATAGGAGTGAAAGATATATTTAGTTATGTATTGTTTCTCTCGCAAAATACTAAATACTATATGTCGAGCTAATAACAGTATTAATTAATTTTACATAAAAATAATTTGGCCATGTAGTTTTAAAAATGAATAGGTTCAAGTTATTATTATATAATAATAATAATATATTATTATTATTATTATCATCAAAATGTTGCAGTAGAGAACAAACATCTGACAAGCAAATAATTTTAGATAAAAATATATTTTACGCTACCACTATGAATTTCCACTGTGTTAATAATTTCTTGGAGTCTACATTGACAGTCATTTATTTATCTAACATTACTACATCCAGCTTTTTCAATACAGAACAGTAATTTTCATAGCTTCTTTATCATTAATACTTCTTGTTCGTAGAATAATGTGATCTCTCCAGCTGAGTGACTTGAAGTTGAGCATTAAGATACTAGATATAAAGATACTATAGCATTAGCATCGAGATTAGTTAAGCATCCTTGTGATTGGATATCTTTTAAACGCACAAGTTAAGTTGTAGATACAGTATTTACACTTTTTTGTATGCTTTTCATGTTGATTTATAATTCACATGAATAAATAAATAAAATTGACTGATATAACCAAGTTATAAACGTTTGTTTTATATTTTGAAAAGTTGGTCATATTCGGACATATCGTTATATTTAAATGGTAATGAAAATGTTATCTGATGTCAGATATTTCTTCTAATAGCAACATAATGAGGCAACACATGAATCATTCTGGTTAGTTCAACGACATGCAGTCTGAAAACCAACTATTTCTGATATTTTTATTCATTTCAAAGATGTAAGTATAAAACCTTACAACCACTAAACTTCACTGCTATTGTTATTACTATTTATTATTACTTTTTTTCAACTAATTTTTTTAACGATAGGTTTGTTAACCATATTACACATCTACCGATATACATGTTTCTATGGATAACTCTGAAAAATCCACTCTAAATTTCTGTTGGAATTAAGTGAATTTTATTTCGTTATTACATTTTAAATTTTCAGATATTAAATTAGAAAATAGTATTGCTAATTAGTATCTTCTAAATCAATTTACTTGCTCAAGTAAAATTTTTTTTTATTAAATAAAAGTTAAAATAACAATTGTAATATCAGTTTTGTTTTGTTTGGGAAAATTTGCAAAATTTATCAATTGCTTGCTTGGTATAATAAAAATGAAGTGTGTGAAAATGACAGATAACCATGGATATATATATATATATCCATGCAGATAACAGTGTAATCAGCAAAACAAAACAGCAAAAGTTAAAAGCATACTATGGACAATGTGCCAATTTTCGTGTTACTAAGAAATAAATTTAAAGTTACAACTTGGCTCTAGCTAAACAATCTTATGTTTAATTAAATACATCGACGTTTTATGTTTTATTTTGTAATTTTCTTTTCAAAATTTAATTAAGTTTTCACTAAAATCTTTCAAACGTTTTCTTAGGTCCAAATTAAATATAATTAATTATTAATAATTAATTAATTTATTAATGGTAAATAAAATTGTTGATTCAAATACATAGTTTCAAACCAGCATATCAAATTCACAAAGGATGCACACAACCGATTTACAGGGCGCGTCATCCCAGCCGAAGTAGTAATTTATATTGCTCACTATGCAGTAATTGATACCATTGTTACCTGAGTTTGGCTCGCCAACGTGCCACAATCCTGGATATAGCATGGTCTCATTGATACCTGTTTGTTTGTATGTTCAATTAATTATTAATATACATTATTCACTTGCAATTTGAAATTTAATAATAGTCTGTTAATGAATTTTAATGCACTGTCTGCAACAAATGAAGGGTGCTTCATTATTCTTACATAGTTGCCATTAAACATCTTTACATCTCTACAACAAAAACTGAACATTCACGCCCAATGTTAGAAATGTAAAGCTTGCGACGATGTTAGTGCCCGCTGACCTGGTTCAAATGCAGTCAGTTCAGAATGCAAAACTATCAATAGAACAAGAAACATATGTGTGCTATAGCTTAAATAAAACAAAAGACATCACCTATTAATAAATATGAAACGAAATAAAAGAGCAGCTTTGCCTTTGTTGGAAATGTGGAAACAATAATACATAACTAGTTGTTGAAATATTAAAAATCTAACAAAGCATAATTTCAAAATAAACTAAACATTTCCATTCCAATACAACTTGATCAACAAATAGTGAATAATTAACAATTTTATAGTGTATTCATACATGCCTTGGTACGGTGACCACAGGAAAGTCCTTATTCCGTTGACGTACGTTTTAATCCCACTCGTGTGGAATGCGTACCATCCTGGGCTCAAATTAATACCTGGAAATTTGTAAACATTTCATTGTGTACAATATTTTTGTCATGTTTTCAAAAAAGCAGAATACTTATATTGAGTTGTTGAATTTGAAATAGATTAAACTTCACATAATTTGCTAAAATTTGTTTTCTTTGATAAGAATATATTTTCATTTTTAAAACACATTTTGGTTTGAAAACTTTGTGACAGTTTTTTTTTAATAAGCGAAATCTGCGAAATTTCTGTGTTGATAAAGTACGTGTTCCATCGTAGAGTTACAGCCAAAAGTGGGTTTGGCATTCAAATGGCTACAATGATGACGAAGTTTAAAAAATGTATTCCGGGAGATTACGACCTGTCTTGCGGGACGTTGTGGTCGACTCAATAATCAGGTAGATAACAACAAATTGAAAGCCACTGTGGAAGCAAATCTCTGCTAAAGTTCACCGTACAATGTATCAAAACAAACAATCTTGACTCATTAGGTACAAAGTGGTAAAGTAAAAAAACTGGACGAAAATTAATCGGCCGATGCAAATGACAAATTTTTATCAATATTTTGAGTGAATACTTTGGTTTAAAATTAATGTTTTCATAAAAAAAACTAATATAAATTATGTTCTTATTTATCTTCACTTAACTTAATAGAATAAAAAACATTTAAAAAGAAAATAATGCAATTACATTTGAAAAACATCAATATTTAAACGAACACAAAAATATTCGAATAATCTTGTGCAAAATTTACATTGAGTGGCCTTATCGACATAAAGCAGAGAGGCATTATTTTCCAGTTCATCATCAATGACGATCGGATGTGACGATGAAATATTGTTACAAGTTGACCTGCCATTGTACCAGTTCATTACCTGATCGAGCATTTTGTAGCACTTGTGATACTCCACAACGTAATCAAAATTGACGGGACAGTCTGCGTAGGTAGTGTCGTTTATATTTTTATTGATAATTTAGTTATTTTAGAAGCTTAGTTAAGCAGACCTTGGGAATGAAATTTTCCACGAGGGATGGTATTGCTAAAGTTAAATTTGAATTCAACAAAACAACAACATAAATTTGGGTTTACCATCGCTGCAACAAAGCACTATTATATGACAAATCTGTTAAAAACGCTGGTTATATTACCAAAATAGTCATAAAAATTGTGGATTTTTCAGTTTGAAAACCGGAACTCTGAACGGAATTATTACATTATACAACAAACAACATCACAGTTATAAGGAATTAGCTTGCGATAGATGAAGAGTATTTCCCACATACAAACCATGATTAACAAATCCTCTGCAGTCACCAGCAGCCATCAAACCAACTGCAGTAACGTTGTAGCGGATGTTTGCTTTAGGAACACATGAACATGATCCACTGGATTGAATGTAATTCAATCCTCTCAAATTGTTGCTTGTTGCAGCCTCAAAATGATTAAAATAATTATAGGTGAGGACATCGTTGCAGAAACTAAAATATTATTTTAAAAAATATCAAAAACAAATGAGTGCACGGTTGATGAGTTATTCGAAATTCTCTAACTCAACTTAGGAATTTTATAAAGTTGAATTGGCAAATGCGATATGACCCTTTCATATTTCTGGATTTTCTATTAAAATATTTTTTAAAATAAATATGAGCCAGAGAGGTGAGGCCACACCACATTTTAACGCTAAAAATTCTAATTACTATCACAAAAAAAGATTAGAACGTTTTGAATTTTTTTTTGTCAAAAGCCCGTATATTTTATAATGTTGATAAAAACAAATTTGTTTTTTTTTACTTTAATAAAGGGTATTGTTTAAATGTCTTGAACGAAAATCAAATGATAATGAAGTAACCAAGCATTTGAAGGTGCACTCCTTCTGATCTCTGGCTCGAATCTTCTTCATGATAGTCATCTCTTCATCGAAACAGACCAGGTTCGTCTGCTTCTGGATAATCATGTAACTGTATGCAGGTGCAAACTTCATAAATGTTGTCTGCTGCTGATGTATTTGGTCACCCAAGTCTGCAATAACCAATGAAACAATCACTCTAATTAGAAACCAATCGTTGAGGAAATTCATAAAACAAGACATTTTCAATTTTGGAGAGTTTTAAAAAAGATATTTAATTGATTTAGAAAGCTTAAAACAAATTTTATTTGTGCAACTCAAAATATACAGAAAAACACTCAGGCCAAATTAGTATATAAGCGGCAAGTACTGAATAAACGAATATTACATATTTAAAACATCGTATGATGAATGCACATCACGATATTTACCACATAGAGAGATATACGACGTGTGAGAATTTTAGAAATATAAAAAAAGTTATAATGCTTTGAAACGATGAATAATTGAATAGACAATGTAAAACATTTGTTCGTGCGCCACTCGCTAAAACTAACAAATACGTGCAGAAACATGCACGGAGGTAGTTGTCGTTAGGAATGGGACGGATCCGTTAAATTCGAACACGTGCTAAGTGGTAGATTCGTATGAAATCGAATCCAAGGTATGTGAGTACTCAAAATTATTGATGTTTTTGCTGAAGCTCCCTTCCATTAGGTGTTAACTAAAACAAAATTTGAACTAAAAAATACCTAGTTTAACGAAAGATGAATCCAGTTGAATACATTTTTCATTTCTAAGCAGACTAATTTGACTTATTTTAGGGTGTAAATTAGTGTAAACAAATATATATATATAAATAAATTTATGAATTCATATACTAAATCAGAAATTTTTTTAATAAATTTTATATGATTTGTTAAACCAAAAATTAAAATAATAACTATGCATATAATATAAGAATTTGACAATGGTGATGTAATGTAAATTTGATTAATGGAATTCGGGAGAGGTTTTGGCTAAATTACTTCTTTATGAATAATTTTTATTAGCATAAAAACATAATTGCTGTTTAAAAAAACTTAAAAGTCCATTATACACTTCCTAGATTCAGAGGAATCAACAACCCGCCACAAACATTGTGTATGGATACGTGCCAAACGACGCATCATGCACGAAGCACGTGATAGGCGGTGATCATTTTGTCACGTTTTTTTTGTTTGTAAAATATATTTAATTATAATTAAGATAATAAATATAATAGTAACAATAATGGGTGGAACATTTCTCGTTTGATTTAAATTACTAGACTTTACAACGTTTTAAACCCTAATACTCAACACACGTAAGCCACTAATTAAAGTCACATATTATTATTTCATATACATGAACAATTTTTAGTTATTTAACGTTGAGCCAGGTGAGTTCAAAGAAGCAGAAAGGATTTCCCCAAGGATAAACTATGTCGTTCGTTCAGTAACCGTTGTAGCATGGTGAAGAGAGGACAATATAATAATATAAAAAAATACAATTTTGCCAATCAAAGTAAAATACAAATTATACTTTTAATATTTTCAACTAAATAATGATGTTATTTTTGTTAAATAAAAAAAATAATTTCATTTAATTACACTAAATGAACCTCATCTAGTCATGAAATTTGAAAAAAAATTTAAATTTTAAAACAGAAAACATTTCAAAGTTAAATTGCACCGAATAAACCTTATCAATTATTCATCTAGTCATGAAATCTGAAAAAAAATTCTATTTTTACAATTTGTTTGGATGTTGTTTTTTTTTAAGAAAAAACATGAAGTAAAAACAAAATTTTAATACTATTAGTGTTGCTATCATTAGCGTTATCATTAATGTTAGGGTTGAACAGTTTGCCTACGTTGGTTTTTGGTGGCACTCTGACACCCAGAATTAATGTGAAAAACCCTGGGTTGGTGTTTGAGGACAGCCTCACGTTTAAACAACATGTCCTACATCTCTCGAGGTCTCGTTTTGAACAATTCAAGAGATTAGGCAGTTTAAATATTTTCTACTACCTAGTTTTCTGTTTTTTTGTAAGTGAAGTTTTTGCTGCCTAGATTTGATTATAGTAACTGCTAAGCGTGGATTAAGACGTAAGACGATGACTACGGAACACATCTGTTCGTAGTCTGAGTAAGAGTCATCAGGTGACGATTGAATTGCACTGTATAGCGTTACTTTAAAGCCTTTTTCCCATCACTGATCGTGTCTTTCAATGCCACGTGTACATAAATTAATAAAACAACAAAATTAAAAAAAATTCAGTAACGAGCATGTAAATATTGTGCTGGATAACATTTTCGAATCAAATAATTTAAATTCAATTTAATAAAATTTAATTTAATAAAATAATTTTAAATTACGTGTTTTTAATTGTGACTTGAAATCAACAGTTATAATTTTGATGGGTTTATTCCAAAAATTTTCCGACAAAAAATACAAGCAAGATCGCAAAGCACCTAGAACTAAAGGTCGCTAGTTATAATTTTTGGCTATCCATGTATATATGTATATGCGTTACGTTCATTTAAATATAACCTATTCCTTTGAAATTTCCCATTTTCTATCATTTGCAAACGATGCTATTTGCAACCATGCTTGTATTTAGAAAAAATAAATTAATTGTTCGTGTAATTATTTCCATGAAAAAAAAACTGAAAGAGATCAATAATCAGCCAAGTCAGTAAGTTTCATTGTTCAATATATAGATTTTGCATTGAAAAACCTTCAGCTGTTCAAACCAGCTACGCAAAGTTCATCAAACTATGGGATTTTCGATGACTGTTGATGGGAACGTTGATATCGTCATCACTGTTTCCATGTTGATTTGGGACCTCTTGCCGATTTTTGGGTTGTTGTTGATATGATCAGATCATGGCCTACAAAGTTGACTACGTTGTTCTCTGGATTAGATATGAATTCCTGTTTAATGAGTTGACGTATATACATATTAAAAATGTGTTAGCCATCAATGAACTGACTAACTACCCCATAATTTAACGAGCCAGCTGTACTCACGGACAACTTCATCATCGGATTGACCAACGCCAACTATTTCAAACTTCTTGCTAGCCACGCAATAAGAGGTAAATTTCCCCTCTGTGGAATTTATCCCTATCCCGCTAAAGGTGGTGTTGGACATCGTGTGAACTGCAGTTCCAGCCTACCTGCTTCCATATGTCATCGCCCTACAAGATGAAAATACTCCGGCAGGGTTCAGATTTAGATGGATGTTTATCAGGAAATTTTGATAAAGTGTTGACAATTTGTGATCTTCACTTTATGACTATGATAAAGCACATCGATCAACAATTGTGTTGATACTAAAGGGAGGCGGTTTTTGTAAAATTATCAGAAATTTGTTACGAAGATTCTGTAAACAGCGGCAAGAAGGATTCACATGTCAATGACCTCAGACTAAAATGTCTGAAACCTAAGGGGCTAACCGCAAAAATAAATAATATCGTTCCTATTGAAACTGCAAAATGATGAGAACGAAAATGAGAACAGACCAACGAATATGATAAGATTGCTTAATGTAAACAGAGACTTGGAAGCCTTAAATTATGAACAAATATCTAGCATGATCCATGTCTGTCGTAAACATTTGTTGCCACATTTGAAAAAATCTTCGTACGCATATTTACTAGCATGCGATAATTATTGGAAAAAAGAAATGTTCCTTTGTTGTTCCGTTGGACAAGGTGTTGCACATGGTGCAATCATATTCAGCTAATGTGAACTTGAGAGTTTGAATATCTTTAATTTTATCATAGGTCGGATTTTGGTGAATGAATCAAGAAAATGCGCCAATAAATTTTTAAAAGTGAAGTTTAGTTTTATGACAATAAAAAATGGGAATGCTGTGTGTTGCTCTAGAATCTGAATCTATGTAGTCCAGAGATCTTTGTTGACATCACGAACATGAAGAAAATTTAATTAATTATGCTTTATTGATTTGTAATTTACAGGATACTTTTTCTTAAATTTATACCCGTTGTAACATTTTTTTAAACCTATATAACACTTACATAAAATTATATTATACACAATAAAAAATTTCAATAATTTATAATGTTTTTTAATTTTTAAAATTTCTCTACTGGTGGAGCAAAACTCGTAGATAAGTTAATAAAAGTAATTTAATATAAATTGATTTTTGAGAAGTTTATTATAAAAAAACAAGAATAAAAAATTCAAATAAACTTATTTAATTTGTTAATCATCTCTTATTTCTTATTAGAAATAAAAATTATTACTACAAAAAATAAAAATACATTAGTTAAAATTTTACTTTTATAACTTTACTCGCCAGGCATATATTTATGAATAACAAAAACACCACAAACAAACAGATGGACGTTAACGAGATGACAACGAAACAGCGCGCGTTGTGATGGTCGAAATATCAGTAAATATTTTGTAGCCGCGTAGACAAGCGGTCAAAAAAGAGATGGAAAATAATTGGAGGGAAATCAGAGACAGTCAAAATTTAATAAATCAGGACAGTCTAAACTTCAATATTCTTTCAGCATCTACCCAGCAACCCATTCATTCCACACCAATCAAAGAATCAACAACTACTCGTTCAACTCGTTTTCAACACCCAACCAAGCATTACCGTGTTATTCTACACTTATCCAACCATCAAAGTATTATTTTACCCCCATCTATCCAACTACATCTTATTTCACATTAATGCACCAGCCGACATATTGTCCCACACTATCTCATCAAGCTGCAACTTATTTCCAACCCAACCAACAACTGACAACAGCTTACTCTACTGCAACCCAACCGACCCCTTCAAGCACAACATCAACTACAAATGGATGTGTCAAAGGCTCACAAGAGAACATCACGTCACAACAAAATCGAGTGTATTTCTCTAACGACAGAACAGCTTTACTCGAAGAGTTCTACCAGAGTCACATATCATTTTCGTATCCGGATCGCGAAACTATAGAATCTCTCACCGGTCACTGTGGGATCTCTCAATCCCAAATCAGAAAATGGTTCAGCAATAGGAGGGACAACGATAAAAACACGCGAGTGTATTCTGAAATTGTCGACGGACGAGGAAACCAAATGTAATTCTTCCGATGCATTCGTGTATATATTTTTGTTGATAGATGTGTGATAATGTTTTTTTCTTATTAATTAAATATTTTTTAATTAATGGTGAAATTAATTCATTTTATTATTTTATCTGTGTGATAAAACTTTTAATGTTTATAGATTTTTTATTTCGTGATGTCAGTTTTTCTACGACGATATTTTTACATTCCATTTTGATATGTTGCGTTATTACGTGATAAACGTTTTTATATTTCAGGGAATGAACTTTTTTATATAATTTAATTTTTTAATTCTTTAATTTAATTTTATTTTGTGAGCTCGTATTGGAAAATTTTATAAATAAAATTTTGTGATGCAATATATTTCAAGATTGTTAGAGCATTTTCGTTTCGCTTTATTTCGTACTTTTTGGAGGTTTTCAAACTTAAAGGTCTAAATTTTCCAGATGGCGTTACACCAATTAAATTATTAAAATGTTTATGACTCGCTCTTTTGAAATTGGTGGTGTTAAATATGACCAAAAACACTCAACATTAAATGATCTTCATTGATTTAAAATTATCAAATTAAAAATTGATCAATTTCTTATCTATCAATCTTGAACGTTTTATATCTCGATTCTCCGTAAGAATCTGCAACTGAAATAATTTTTCTTTTGAAACGATGAAACTTATCCTTAGCTTGCAACCTATAAAGATAAATAATGGATTGAGTAAAAGTATCTAATTTGCATATTAGTATGTTATTGAAGTTATAATAAAAGAAACCTATTCAATCGGTTGATCTAACAGAGGGAGAAGTCACTTTGAAACAAAGAACAATTAGAAAAATTACAATGGTTACGAAAGTATTTAAGAAACTGTCCGCGCCCTTTTCAGCACAAAACTTGTGATTATTTCTAATCTGGGATTAAACAACGCTTAAGCTTCTCAAAAAATTTCAACAACTTTTAACAAATTAAATTTTTAACTTGTACAATCCTTTAACTTATAAAATCATTATAATGGCTTCCTACATTCACTACAAATTTGTGAGCATGTTGGAATGGAGAACAGTATCATTTAGCGGTCCTTGCATCAGTGTTAAATGTCTTAAAGACAAAATAATTGAAGCAACTGGTTTGGGAAGATTTGAAGATTTTCAACTCGTTTTGAAAAACGAGGCTACAAAAGAAGAACTAGAAAATGAAACGCTGATAGATAGAAATAAATCCGTCATAGCGTATAGGTTTCCTTGTGGCAACAGCAAAAGAAAAATATTAATAGGAAAAAGAAGAAACCGCGAGGGATAGCCTCCAGATAAATATATATGTTACAATTGTGGAATGGGTGGACATTGGAAGGAAGACTGCACAATAGAATGCAATAAAAAAAAATAATAAAGGGAGCTACGGGGATACCGAGGTCGGAACTTGAAGTAGTGACCGACCCCAGCTTACCAGGTGTTATGATCAATAGCAACGGCGAGCTGGTAGTTTTCAAATCGGCAAGAATTCAAAAAAGGATTGAAACAGAAGAAATTTTTGAAAAAGGAACAACAAAGAAAGGAAAGAAATAGTAAAAAATGTAAAAGGGAATTTTGTGGAAGATATTGTTGCTGAGCCTGAAAATAAACGGTTCAGGGCATCAAATGAAACTGACAAAGATGAACTAACATGGTTGGATTTTCTGTAAAATCTTCATGATTTAATGCATAATAATGAATTTTTATTTTCTTTTTTCAAAAATAAATATTAAAAATGTTTTTCCTTATTTCATACTTCCTCGTTGAACTAAACGATACAATAATGATTTTATAAACACAATGATAATCTATAATGATTATTCAGGATGTTTGAGATGATATGAATGTAAGATTTGATGTAACTTTGAATGAAATTACTATTTTTTCTAACAATATATTGGAGCGTGCATGGTCTTACGGTAAAGTTACTTTTCTTTGCTTCCCAATCACTAAAAATCGCCTCTTTTCCCATTTAAGTCCGACACTCATTGACATAATTTTTATCTAATTAAAAAAATTTTTGCACAACGTGATTCCAAAGTATAATATCTGCAACATCGAAAAATTGCTTGTGTACACAAAAATTTTTCTTTTTTGTCTGAATTAACAGTATATTTTTTACGACCTCGATTTAAAACATTTAAATGATTTTTTTTCTCTTACTTCTAAGTTTCCCATTAGATAATTCTTTTAACACAAACAAAACAAAAACAAGTCATGGCAAAATATTGCATTAAAAATCGTTAATTAGTCTATCGGTTAAAAAAAACCAGCTGGACTAAATTATTTCTTAGAGCGGAATCAAATCTTTGCATCTTTTGTTGTGACAACGACGTTTGCGGTCTAATTAAACATTTTTCATAGAAATTAGCCTATACTAATTGAATCTGATTTACGTTATAGGATTTTTTGTTCTTTAGCGGATTAACCAATTAATCTTGTGTTATCCTAATATTAACTTAATTCTTTCCTTAATTAGTTTCTGATCTTTATCTTTATGAATAATTTTTAGCTAATTTTTAGCAACTTGTATGTTTAATTGGTTATGCAATAATAATAGGACAACATTACTGTTCAAACAACCAAGCTATAATAAATTAGATAATTAAAAAACTTCTGTTAAAAAATCCTATTTAAAATTAACGCAAATAATAACAACTATAAATTAAGCTGAATAAGGAAATCACGAAGTTAATGTTAGGATATTATAAAGTTAATTATAAAGTTGATATATGAATGCCCAAATTTGATATACGAATGCTAAAATACGGTTTAGAAACAAAGTAAGTTATTATAACTACATCATCCAAAATCGTGACTATGACAACTGAAGTCACAGTGACAAAAAAATTAGAAATCGACAAAAGGTCGATACGGATAGGCAACTACAGAAGAAATAAAAAAACATTTTGATCGTTGCGGATTTATCGTCAGAGCAACAATTTTATCTGATAAATGTAGTGGGAATCCGAAAGGATTTGCGTACATCGAAGTCTCGAATGATCGTTCAGTGGAGCTGGCTTTGGCATTGAACAATTCAATTATACAAGACCGGCTGATCATAGTGAATGTTAAAAGAAAAAACATTCGAAAAACAACATGTACGGACTAACCAACTCAAACAGAGGAAGAGGTCCGAGAACATGTGTAGAAGGAAAAAATCATTATGCAACAGTTGTGCATCAAACTGTAACACACGCCCAACCCACGTGCAACAACAGTACTCAATGTACAGGGGTAGGGGTCACAGTAGACCAAAGAGGTGTGTTCAATACAGTCCTTACTGTATGAAATATTATTTTAGCTTCATAACCGATAAATGTATCAGTATTTTTATTTTCATTGTTCGTATTATTTTTAGTTATTATTTTAACAATTTAATCGTGATTTTGATCATTCGCTCAATATTTTGCTTTTGTGATTGCGTTGTCATAAAACAACGATTTTCTAATGTGAATGATTTTTATTTTCTAATACATCCAATCATTTACTGTGATGTTTAATATAAATGCTTGCGTGAGAGATTTTCGAGAGATTCAGCCTCTAAGTGGATCCATAATTAATAGATAAATAATTTGTAAATAATAAAGCTTCATAGAAGAGGATTTTGAAGACATGTAACATAATATAGAATAATCAAAATATTACACGATTAAAGAATTTATCTAAAGTGATAAAATTGAAGAAAAATATTAAAAAAGATCACTTACATATTATTAATCTGATAGCTCGAAGTTTGTTTCATAAATTGTTAAATCTGGAAATTTTATTAAAACAATTCGAATTTTTTAAAATTATAACTATACCAGAAACGTGGTTGAACAATGAAACCGTTGATTTAATTAAGTTAAATAATTACCATTTTGTATAAAAAAAGCATGACATCAAATATGTTGTAAACGATAACAGTGCATTTGATGATGAAAATGTCGACGTTCTCTGTGTGAACATTGAATCGGGACATACTTCATCTAGAGGTGCGCTAAAAGTTTTTGCAATATAACGCCCACCCAATTATAAATTTGAGTTTTTTAAAAATAAAATCAACTTGATTTTACACGCCATCAAACCCGCCAATAAAAACTGTTATAGTGGGTGACTTTAACGTTAATTTATTGGATAAAGATTCAAATAACTAAAGATTTCTAAAATTTATTATTCTCATTTTGTTTTTCGCCTTTAATTTACCACTTCATTAATCGACAACATATTCACGAATCTTTCCCAACATTGTGAAAGTAGATTTATAGTCTCAGACCATCTTCTGACCATTTTCCAGTTTGTGAAATTATAAAGAATTTTAAAACTGCTCTCAAAGATGACCTAATTTTAAGAAGGATAATCAATAAAACATACATTTTCTTTATTTAAAAACCTTTTCATTTCAAAATTGGCATTCCTCAAAAAACGAGAATAATATAATTCTTTAATAAACTCAATAAAACTCTTGACTAACACGCACTATTGCAGTCGCAGAAACAAAAAAATAGAAAAAGCATGGGTATCTGATGGAATAATTAAATTATCAAATAAACAGAATCAACTGTATAAAATAGCAGTTGCCACACCAAATACTGTTAACATTGGAAAATTTAGAAATTATTTTACATCATTAAAGGGAAAGGCCAAAAAGATTTGTCAACACAAATTTGAATGGCAAAAGGTTGCTCTAAACAAAAATGTGATATAATTAATGATATAATCAATAGAAGTCAAAATACTAATAATATTAATAAGTTAAAGTTGATGACAAGATCATTGAAAGCCCAGAGGAATAACTAATATTTTCAATGACACAACAAAGAATAGCACAAAATGTTATGAATAATCTTATTGAAAAAACACTAACCGTAGGTGTATTTATAGATCTCTCAAAGGCCTTTGACGTCATCAACCATAATAAACTGATTAAAAAATTACATTCACCTGTAATAAGAGGAAAAGCGAGTGCATGGTTCAAAAGTTATTTGGAGAACACAGACCAGTATGTGGCAACAAAACTTAACATTAGCTCAGGCATGCTCCAAGTATCAATTTTGGGTCTTCTTCTGTTCATAATTTTCAATTTTTCATGAATGACCTTCAACAAGCAACTTACTTATGCAAATCAACTTCTATATGCAGATGACACTAACATTTTTTTCCAACTAAAAACCTATTGAAAAATATATCAATCTAGTTAACCAAAATTAAATTAACAATAAATTATTCCAAATGTAATTACATAATATTTGGTCAAAAAATATTAACAAATATTATACCTGACCTAGACATAAAAATGAACAATATTTCTATTTCTCACTCAGCCAGAACTTAATTCCATGGAGTAACAATCAAGCACAATCATTCATGGGATATTCACATAGATACTTTCTCTAAAAAAAAAGAATATGCTAAACTTTAGTTTAGGTGTTATAAGCAAAATTAAAAATAAATTAAATAAACCTACGATAATAATAATCAATCTGTATTATTCTATAATTTTTCCTCACCTCATCTACCTACTGTCACGTAATTTGTGGAAACAGTCCTGACATTCATCTTCTAAAACTTAATTTTAAACTTTTAAAGTAAATGCCAAAACCGATTTAATAAGAATCTTACAAAATTTTCATCCTCACAGTTACACAAGTGAATATTATCTTGATATGAAAATACTCAACATTAAAAACTTGTACATCTACTATGTAACAACATTTATTTCTAAATTTACCGGCATTTTCTAAAGAAATTTTCACTTTTGGAACTTTCATTCAAGCAAGAACTAAACGCCACACGTCACTTTTCTATGCTCCACCTGCCAGAATTAAAGTACTCTGCACCAAGGAGAAGCCTCAATATACAACACTTTCTTATTGGTTGAAGCAGGTATATGCAAAGAACTTCAATTTTTTCAACTTTTAATTATTTTCGGTAATGTCGATTTTATTTTTTTAAATTTATACCAAATAAAAGTAATTAATTACCACATTAAATAACAATTTAAAAAAATTAAATTTTAAATAAAAGCCATATTCCGAAATTAGTAAATATACGATCGTAACTTTTGACTCGAACGATAAAAAATCAACCTCCAAATCTCCTCCGGAAAAAAGCTCCTGGTTCCACCGTTAAAAGTGAGCGAAGGCCGTTATATTTGTTCTAGTTATGTGCTCTGCACTGCATTAGTTTGAAACTCACCGGCCCAAGAATATTGGAAACAATTCCACAAGAAATTAAAGATTGTAACTATTTGTGTCTTTTTAAAAATGAACCGAAAAAATATTTATTTACATAAATTTCTGCTTTTAAGGGATAATAATTTAGTTTCATTAACATTGATACATTTTCCTTCCATTAACAATTTTATTTAAATCTAATTTTTTCTTTTTACATTACCAGAACATCGAAAAGCTATTTTAAGTTACACTGTGGTCGAGCCCATAAGAATTAATTTTCTTTTTTTTATTTTTCCGAATCATTCATACTTTTTATCTGATTAAATAATAATGATTTGATTTGATTAAAATTTTTTGAAAAAAACTGGAAAATTCAAATAGAAAATTAGAAAGCTTTTCCAACACGTGTTGCTAACTGAAGTTTAATCCAAAGTTCGTCTCTTCCAATCACGTGATCTACTTCCAATCACGCGATCTACTTCCAATCACGCGATCTACTTCCAACCACGTGATCTACTTCCGATCACGTGATCTACTTCCAACCACGTGATCTACTTCCAATCACGTGATCTACTTCCAATCACGCGATCTACTTCCAATCACGTGATCTACTTCCTATCACGTGATCTACTTCCAATCACGTGATCTACTTCCAACCACGTGATTTACTTCCAATCACGTGATCTACTTCCTATCACGTGATCTACTTCCAATCACGTGATCTACTTCCAACCACGTGATTTACTTCCAATCACGTGATCTACTTCATATCACGTGATCTACTTCCTATCACGTGATCTACTTCCTATCACGTGATCTACTTCATATCACGTGATCTACTTCCTATCACGTGATCTACTTCCAACCACGTGATTTACTTCCTATCACGTGATCTACTTCCAATCACGTGATCTACTTCCAACCACGTGATTTACTTCCAATCACGTGATCTACTTCATATCACGTGATCTACTTCCTATCACGTGATCTACTTCCAACCACGTGATTTACTTCCAACCACGTGATCTACTTCCAATCACGTGATCTACTTCCAGCCAAGTTATCTACTTCCAGCCACGTGATCTACTTCCAGCCAAGTTATCTACTTCCAGCCACGTTATCTACTTCCAGCCACGTTATCTACTTCCAACACGTGCAGGTGGCATATAGGCGCGGTTGGATAATACAGCGCAAGACTACATGTTTCTTTCGATGCTGTTGTATTGTTTGGTGGGCGTGTGGCTAAAATTTATGTGTGACAAGTCTGTAACTTGTTCAGTTGAATTGAAAACCATTGCCGAATGCATTTCTAATTGATTCGCAACAATTACAGCGCAGTTTAAAGTTTGGGCTTTTAAAGTTTGTCTAACAAAGCAATAATAATTTCCAACTCTATGAAGGCAAAAATACTAATATCAGACTAACTTTTTAAATGTTGCTCTATCTCTTGTTATATTTGTTTTAGGAAATGACAATTTAAATATTCAGATAACATGTGTTTTGTTATAACTGAATGCCTTTCGTTCTTTACAATAGAATATCAAAAAATTTATTTTTGTTAAATTTATTTAATAAAATAAAAAAACTGATCTTAGACAACTTTATTTTTCCACTAACCCATTAGTAGAGTCACAAAAAAATGACGTTAACATACATAATTCCAGTAACATGATGAATTATTATGCTAGATATCGTCTTATTATAATCATATCATTAAAGCAAATATATTTAAATGCTTGAAGTTAATTACTTCAGTTGCTGTTTCACTGCTGTTACAATAATAGAAAATTAAATGCTAGCCAAAAAATCAACATCGATAAAAATAGTTAGAATAGTTTTAACAAGTACAATATTTTAAACTGGATGATATTAAAATGTTATCAATAATTATATTTGTGATATTTAGATTGTTATGAAGATCAAAATGTAATATCACAAATATATTGTAATAATTACGATAACAAGTGCAATAAAATTATAAAAAAAAGCTAAGCTATATCAAGATTGTATGAAGTACGTATGTATAAAATGCAGCGGTGATAAGATACAGCATAAATTAGTATAACACAGATATCACAAAAGTATTAAAATTTAAATTGAAAAAGTTTTTAAAAAAAACATTAACACAAATATTTAAAATTTAAAAAACGAGCCTATGCAGATAAAATAAACTGAAATGTTAACGTTATGATAACAGATGGAACGTAAAAAGTTTGTACGAGTTAAAATAAATACTTTCAGCAAGAACACTTTTAATTCAAGCGTTTAGTTTATTATGTTAATAAGCTGTGGACACCCAAGGATTTTTTAGAACTTGATCTGCCGTGTAGCGAATTCTTGGATCGGCAACCATTAAATTTTCAATGATGTTCGTGGCCTCTTCCGATATCGAGAGCAGTTTCGTTTCGTTCATTATGTAATTTCCAAGATAGATTCTTTGAATTATGGGCTCCTGAAGGACAGGTAAGTATTTTTGTCATTAAATAATTATAATTATTAATTAATTGATTTATTTAATAAAATTTCATTTGTAAGATCGAAATGTTTTTGTGTATATAAATTGAATGTATGTTTGGATAAGTTAAAAGAAAAATTATTATTATAGATAGATAAAAAATAATAAACAAAGTCTATGCTTATGAATTGAATTTTAAAATCTACAAAACTGTGTTGTAAAATACAAACCTCTGAATCACAGAAACGACAACTAAATCATGAAACGACAATACATTTTAACAAAAATTGAATAACAACTACCAGACAGCAGGATTTCCTATTTTTAGTGGAGCTACAATTTGCACAAAATGCCTTGTCGATGGGAAATTCATTGGTCATCAATTTGTACATAGTGGCACCGAGACTCCACATGTCGCTTTGTGTTGTGTAGTACCCGGTGTCAGTTACACGAAGCATTAGTGCTGCCACCTCTGGTGCGAAGTAATAAAATGATCCCTCCTGATTTGAGGTTTTTGGTTAAAACGTGTTTTTAAATTATTCACTTAATTTTTTACCGTTTTCAATTAATCGAACAGTTTTAATTAAATAGCAGTTAAATTTGGTTGTTGGTCGATATTAGTTTATTTAAATAATTTCCCAAATAGTTCCACTCAGAAGTACATTTATTAAAACTGCTTAAAACTGCTAAATCTTCACTAAACAAAATACAGAGAGAATTTTCATAACTAACCACATTTGTAAATCTCTCGCCCACTTCTGAGCAACCGAAATCGCATAACTTCAGAGGATAAATAATGTCATCTGACGAACAAAGAATGTTTGATGGTTTAACATCTCGATGAGCAATGTTTTTACTGTGCAGAAATTTCAATGCATTAGCTACAGATTTCAAAATGACCTTTGCTTCGCCTCCATTTATTGTTCCATATTTCTCAAGTCTCTTCATCATACTGCTCCCACCCATTTTCTCAAATACCAAGTCGAAACCGTCTTTATCTTCAAAGTAGTCAACCATTTCAACAATATTTTCCTGGTTAGTGCACATTTTGAGGATTTCAATTTCTTTTAGAATTTTTCCTCTGTTAACCTTTGCCGATAAAATTCGTTTGCATGCAAATACTTTGGATGTTTTCTTTGAAAGACAGCTCTTAACCGTACCAAATCCACCTTTGCCCAAAAAACCATTATCATCGTCAATGACATCATAACAATCTGTTAAAAAAATTAAATTAGTTTTTTTTTCAGGACATAAAGTGCCCATTTTTTAAAACCAAACGTTTGGTAATTTTTACAGTCAAAACCACAGATTCGGAGAACCAATCGCAGACATGTGCCATGTCTTCTACAGCCACTTACATTCTTCTTATGCATTGAATGACATAAAAGAACTTGGTACCATATGCAAATAAAGTTTCTGCAAATGTCACATTAATGTAAATGAAAAACAAAAGTGGTCTATTAGAGTTTGCTAGTAATCGCGGTTGCCTGCGATTGTGCGTTCCACTCTTAACTTTAAATATTCCATTCGTCAGAAAACTATTGAGGACTTATGATAAAAAAAGATTGACAAGTGAACGATTAAGAGTTAATAATAATAACATAGAGTGTTGCATCGTATTTTTGTAATAAATGTTGACAGATTATGCTGTGTTTTAAATTCATGATAATTATTTTAAAATTCACTCAATTTTTGTAATTTGTGGCAGATAGGCTAGGGCTAATTAGACTTAGACATTAAATTATTGTTTATTCACATGAATTTATAAAAATTAAGTAATGTCAAGCAGTAAATAAAATTGAAATTTTTTTACCGTTGAAAGATTTTTCATCAACCGAAGAATTCTTCTCGGTCATCTTTCGTGGTTTGAGTTGGTTTATTATCGAATTGGGCACAATTAAAAATTTCTAATTAAAAAATTTTATCAATATAAAATTATTGATATGTATATTATTAATATCAATGATGCTTTCAAAATTATTACTCTAATTATTGATGCTTATTATTTTATAAATTAGATTTGGTTTCAAGTCTCCTTTTTATAACATTTAATATGATGCGAGCCTTTTCTTTCAGTTTTCGAATTGCTTCACAACGGATCCCATTACGATTAGAATGACGCATCTGTGGGTATCACATTTCATCATTGTCGCGGATATTTGGATAGCTCTGTACTGAAAAACATTCACTAATGGAATGTTATTAAGTCGAAGAATTTATCATAAGCATCAAAATATTGTTACAAAAAGCTAAAACACTTATCCTGCAACTTTGAAAGTAATTTTCAACAAGATTGTTACAAAGAAGATCTATTCTTGTTCATCCTATATACAGACATATGACGATTCGTAATTATGCACCTTCTTTCTACCGTAAATTGATGGCTTATTCGTAACTAGGATAACTAACTGAAAAAAGCGAAAACAACAACAATATCCTTACGAACCTTAATTTAAAAATGAATATTAATTATTGTATATATAATAAATATAATTATATTATATAATATAATAATAATAATTACATAATTTGGAGAGCGGTTTGAGAACTTTAGAAAAGCTTAGTTGATAAATATTCTTAAATAGTACTTTTCAATAATACTTGCTATCAACGAGATTGTAATTAAAACTTTACAAAACGTTTTAAAAAATAGTAAAAATTGAATGTAAATATCCTTTATGCAAGCAATGAAATAAACAAGCGGCCATTCACTTTCGTCTGAATGTTAATTAACATATTTGCACTGTAAAATAACTACGTCGGGCTCCGAACAAAAATACTAAACACAATAAACATAACCGGACATGCGTAAGTTACCATGGAATTGAGTTATAAATTAGAATACGTTAATTTACATATTTGAATTTTATTTTTTGAGTTTATTCAACCTTTGAATAAAATTTAAAGAAAGAATTAAAATGTTAAAATGTTTATCACTCAAGGCTGGTTAAAACAATTTTTCGTACATGTCAATTCACTCTAGCTGCAGTTGCTAAAGTGAATTGATATTCATTAATTTATCTTGAATTGAATATTTTACCTAATTGAAGTACTTTCAGCGTCCAAACGTTTTGAAATAATTTACTTTCGTCCAGAAAAACTTGTATTTGAAACTTGGTCACAATTCAAACGGTAGAATCGGTAGAAATGTCCAATGCAATTCATTAACCTCGTTAGAAACAAATAGCGCGAAATAAATTAACTTGCTACAAATGAGAAATAGTGAGAGTGACAATAAACTAAGGCTCATTAAAATAATGAAATCTTTCAATATGTTTGATTTCTTTATATGAAAATCGAATAAATTAACTTAAATTTAATTTTCTTGTTTATTAAAATAGATTAAAACGATGTTCTAATATATAGTCTCCAATGCGAGTCTAGAAATTTTCAAAATTATTGAAGATCTTCTAAAAATGTAAAATGTTCTTGCAATTCGTAGATAAATTTTTTTCTTGTTAATATGAGTCGAGTACGTTAATGATGATAACTTGTACCTATCTGGCTTTGTGATGTGATGATCGCATAAAAACGATGAGCTAAAAATAAAATTTATTTAGGTAAATACAATCCAGCAAAGAATTAGAAACAATTGTTTTTATGATTTTAAATTGTTAAAAATATGTCATTACTGTTATACAAAAAGTGTAGATATAAAAAACATTACAATTAAGTTATTTGAAACATGGTAAACAAGAAAAATTAATAAACTGTGCAACTATTTTATAATCTTTTAGTGCAAAGGAACTCAGGACAAAACAGACATTTTACGAAAAAGATTACTAGAGAGATGTCCGCCAGAGTTTGTCCTTCAGTTCTACATATAAATAAGAAATTTTTCAGCCAAATGATTTATACGTTAGTAAAGTACAGCTACTATAGTATATAATAACAATGTGAGTGCAATCCCAACTCATCCAATGCGATTTATTTCGCCGAATGTTCACTGATGCTTGTTAGTTTGTTTGTAATACAAAATTTCAAACTGCAAAAATAATGATATAAAGTTTTAATGGTGTGATGAACAACAAAGAATAAACTTTCTAACGCAATGAACACATATTGTACTTACAATATTCTCACAATTGATGCTTTCGTATTGCATTTAATTTCATCAGGCACGACCAACGTGCTTCAACTCAATAATAGTAGTAGTAATAAACATGACGTCATTAATTACTTTTTTTTAAATTATCAATTTATTAAATACAACAATAAGAAGAAACATGAATAATAAACTACTGTTTTTATAATCTAAAAGGGTTTTCAAAATATTTTTCTTTTAACGTTTTTAAATCACTTCAACAATTTCACAAATCATTTTGAATATTTTAAAATAAAAATGTTAGCAGAAAAACAACCATGCTTGCTTTAATTAGCTGTAATAGCCAGCTCATCTCAAACGAGATTTCATTTTAAAAAAACTATGTCACACTGTACAATTAGCATAATTTCAAATGCATAAATTCTTCATTTTGCATTTCAAATGTTCATATCAAACTCACATAAGACACAAAGACTTTGGCTGCAATAATAATCATCCCAGCCACCATATCCATAGAAGTTGCTTTGTATGCAGTAATCTTTTTCATCTGCTGGTGCGTTAGGATCACCGGCGTGCCAGGCTATTTTACTCACTTGCACAGTCTTGTTAACTTCTTATTTCTTGGAGCATTTAGTTGATTATGTTGATCATTCAGAATTCGATTTGAATAAAAAAATCATAAAGAAAGTTTATTTGCGATAGTGAGATTTGTTACAAAATTTTTAATGTTTTTAATTATGGGAGCAGGTAGAAGCTGATTGAGTTTTTCAATCAGAGATAATTCCAGGAATATAAAATAAAAATTATTTATTACAAAATTTTTATGTATAAAAGCAGAATTAGTGCTCATCACAAATTTATTTTATTTTTCTACATACAATTATGTTACATTAAAAAAAATTCATTTTCCCACACCGGAAATTGAACCCGGGGCCGCCAACGTGAAAGGCTGGAATCCTAACCACTAGACCATGTGGAATGTACGGTAATACAGTCAACTAAACAGTCAATCAACTAGTCAATTCATCGTTTAATCATTTTGAAAAAATAAAAACACGCTTGTCTCTGCTAAAGAACACTAAGGATAGAGCTCTTAACCGGACCTCTACGCTTGCCTGCACATTCATATACCTTCAGATTTTAGCGCAAACATTAAATTTGTTGATTCGAAAATCTAAATGTCAACATTTTGAAACTGAATTTTGTCATATTATTCTACCTACGAATAAAAACAATGAACAAAAGCTGATTCAGCTTCACTTTCTTCAGTTGTGTTCGAATTGTTAGGAAATTAATGTTTTTGCTGCTTCTCACATTTCAGGGCAGAGACTAATTTGTTGTTCGTCCGCTAATCAGTGTTGCACTGCGCAGTTGATATTTCACTTCGAGATTTCATATCAGAAATTTTTTCTTAAAATTCAACCTTTGAATTAAGTTTTATGGAAGAATTAAATAGTTAAAATGAAAATCGAATAAATTCATTTAACCGGATATTCATGTTTATTAAAATAGATTAAAACGATGTTCTAATATATAATCTCCACTGCGAGTCTAAAAAATTTCAAATATTTTTAGGATCTTCTGACGCATCCTTCTGTGTGTTTATCCAACTGGTTACTTCTTAAATAGTCAAACAAAATTTTACCATGCGAGAATTGCACGCCAAAACACAGATGCACGTCGTGAAACATGAAATTCTTTGCAATAATAGATATAATAATAACAATAATAATTGTTATCTTTATTTATATAATAATTTTTCTGATAATAATAATTTAATAACTGTAACTAGAAATATAGCTTAAATCATTTCTCAATACATTCTCCAAAATAAAAGTACCCGGTAACATTGTAAATCGAAATTTAGTTTTGCCAAATTATTTCACTTTTCAACTAACACTGTCCCAAACCATAGAATTAAAATATAATTCTTACATACAATCAAACTTGGATAAAATCTATTAGAAGAGAAAATGTGAAACGTTGTTTTATAGCTATCACGTCTGAATATGATATGCATTGTTTGTTAAATAAGATAGATATAGCTTGTTGGTTGTTAACGATGATGCAAATGTTGTCTGTGTTTGCAGTTTATTTCTGATATGTTGTTTTGTTACATTTGAGTGTTATGCATTGCTAAGCAATATGACCATGCTATTGATTTATATATTGATACTCTATAAAATATTGTATAAAATTTGATCACCATCTCACATTTACAATTAACTACATCTAAAGTGAAACTCATCACAAATTTATTTTATTTTTCTACATACAATTACACTATATAGAAAAAAATCATTCCCACACCGGGAATTGAACCCGGGCCGCCAACGTGAAAGGCTGGAATCCTAACCACTAGACCATGTGGGATGTACGATGTGCCATACATGGCTTTCATCAAATTACAAATAAAACATTGCATAAGAATACGCGTGTATGATTGATTGCACCATCTCAGCTTGTATCAAGTAAAACAGAATATGGATATTTCATCATTGCCAATCGTCCCGAATTGAGCGGAACAGACACAAAAACGCTAAAAAATTGTGAAATATGGACTGTCCTTTATCCTGGTTTTTAAATGATTGACCGGTTAGCTGTGTTTAAACAAAAATATCCATCCAACTTGAACCGACCAACTAGCCAACCAACCGACCGACAAACCATCAATCCAGTCAACCAAACAAACAGCCACTTAACCAGTCAATTCATAATTTAATCGTTTTGAAAAACACGCTTGTTTCTGCTCAAGAACACTTAGAATAGAGCTCTTTACAGGACCTTTCCATTTGCCTGCACATTCATATACCTTTATATTTTCACACAAACATTAAGTTCGTTGATTAGAAAATCTAAATATCAATATTTTGAAACTGCTACGACTAAAAACAATGAACAGAAGCTGATTCAGCATCACTTTCAGTTGTGTTCGAATTGTTAGGAAATTAATGTTTTTGCTGCTTCTCTCATTTCCTGGCTGAGGCTAATTTATTGCTCATCCGCTAATCAGCATTGCACTGCGCAGTCGAGATTTCACTTGAAATTTTTTAACGATAGAAAATAAAATCTGTTTTTATACAATAAAATCCATCAGTTAAATTTTATGGTTTCATCTGCAAATGAATTGGAAAATTTTACTATAAAAGCAGTTTTGTAAGAGAATTTATCTCAACAAACAAGCCAGTTGTAATTGAAGACACGATTATGAGTAGTTCAAGAAAAAGTTTACTGCTCATCTTGTTGATTGCAGGATCAATCGGAGCCGAGGAATGCAATTGGCTGACTTTGGAATTTGATAGGCCTTTGTGCGAAGATTTGATGCCGAGGATCGCAAGTGTGTGTAACGAGTGGAGGAAGGAGGCTAGAGAGATTCTATCGCGTATAGACGGTATACTTGGTTTTTCCGAAATTTTCAAACTTTAAACTTAAGCATAATTCCACCTCATTTATTTTTCAGACGATGAAATAAGAAAAGAAGTAACATCGGCTATGCACGTCTATAGAAATGGATATTCAATGAATCTGGTGTGCGAATGTTGTGTCAAAAGCTGCACCAACAATACCATCAGAGGCTTCTGCCCCTACTGGATAGGGAAAAATAACTTTGTTGTAAGAAATTTATAGAATAAAATTTGCAATAAAGACAATCAACTGAAATATTTGAATCTAATGTTTCATAGTTAAAATTTTCAATAAATTATTGCAAAGTGAAGTTTTTATTAACTAATACTTTCGACAAGATTTCGTCAATACTTAAAAGTTTGAAAAATTTTAAATGAACAAATACTAATATTTAAAATTTACTACATGGCCGCGGTCAATCATATCGTGCAAATAATCACGGCACACAAAATCTTGGCGTTAGCGGCTTGGATAGTACACATTAACTTGAAAAGTGTTTACTCAAATAATTTTGACTTAATAGTGCTGCTATATTGAAACCCAAACAATACGATTTTTTAACATCATCTATCCTTCTGGCGATGACCAGTTTTTTAGAAGAATTCACAGACTTCCAGCTTTTGACAGACAAAAAGTGCCTATTTACAGAAAAAATTGATCAAACCTGGTGTGAGATCTCTAATTTAAAGAACCCAGTAACTGATCAACAAAGATTCCCAAAATTTTTTAAACTGTCCATGTTTCTTCATTTGATACCTCTCAGCAACATGTACTTTGAATCCCTTTTTAGTTATGTTGGAAAAATCTAACCAAACGTTCATAGCGAGATTGGTTGAAGGAAAGATGGATATGCCTGCAAGAGTGTGCAGTGAACATCAGGGAGATGTTAGAAACACACTAGGTGGGCTGCTAACGGAAAAATCAACATTTTCAACGGAGAGATGTCTTATTCCTGAAAGCCGTCTGGCGTGACCTTTAAAATCTTGCAAAGCTACATACATTGCTCTGAGTGAAAAAGAGAGTGACCGCAAGAAAGAGTGCTGTAAAGTAGAATCTTCTGATCATGCCTTCCATGAACGAAGCTGCAGCTGATGGAGTTTGAAAGTGGAATGTTAAATAAGCATTTAGTTGCAGATAATAAATATTGTTGATTGTTTGTTTTTAATGGGAAATAAATACCAGAAAATTAACAAAAAACATTTATTTTTGTTAAGTTGATCTGAGATTTTATAATAAAATAAAAGTGAATGATATACCATAAAAATGTAACGTATATATGTAAACGTAAAATGTAAAATGTAACGTTTATATCATTCACACTAAATTTTTTTGCACCGCTTTTGAAAATTCAAATGCTGTCGTGTGTGATTATTTTTGAAACGATTTTTTTTGCAGGTATATAACTAAAATGAATAATTTCCGTTTTTAAATTTTAAAACCCTAACCCTAACCCCTGACGTAAGTTTCATTGGTTCCGAGAGACCACCTGAGTAAAAAATCTGCTGAGTCCGACCAGTAAGAAATGATTCGAACCACGCTAACGCAATCTTATTTAAACCATAACAATATTTCAGTCTGTCCAGCAGGATTTTATGATTCGCAGTATCGAACGCCGAACTCATGTCCAGGAATGTCAACAAAGTTACTTTTTGTATATTAACTGCTGAATAAACATGAGATAATATATCTGATAGAGCTGTTTCTGTCGAATGAAACCTTCTGTATCCAGATTGATGCGAAGGCCAAATACCATTTTTATTTATATGATTATTTAAAACTAACTCAACGGAACGTTCAATAATTTTAGAAACGAAAGACAAATTTGACACCGGCCTATAGTTTATCAGATCTGATTTATCTAATCCTATCTTCTTTAGAAATGGCGTGACAATTGAATGCTTGCAAACCTGTGGCATTACATCCTTCGTTAAGCACATGTTGATTAAGTCCGTTAAGTAAACAATAAAACAGTCAGCATATTCTTTGAATACATGCGTCGGTATTGGGAAAAGTGAGCCTGACTTCGTAGGTGACGAATTAACAACTTTAGATATCTGTTCTTCAGTCAGCACTGGAAACGATTCGAGTAGAAACATAATATTAGTATTAGTAGAAATAACTGGAAAATTAAAACATTCAGTTGACTTTTCGGTCACTTTCAACTTGTCAGCAAAAAATTTTTTAAAATCATCGGCGCTGTGCATTGAACCAACTTCATTTTCAACACTTGTCTCTTTTCCTAATAATTTATTAATCGTTTGCCATAAGTATTTGGAATTATTTTTAAATTGACATGTTTTCGCGAACCAAAAACTCCTTCGTTTCACTGAGTAACAAACATTCTTTTGTTTCATTGCCAGTACCCAATCAACTTTATCATTATAACAACCAGTATTTCTGAAACTTCTTTTTTTTTTCGACACATTTGCTTAGCCTTTTTGCAGTCACTGTCAAACCATGGGGCAGTTGGGACATGTTTCCATCGAACTTCATGAAGTGGAGCAACATCGTCAGCAATTTTTAAAAGCTCTTCATTGAATATTTTAAAACCCAATTCGACATCATCATCCTGACCATAATGTTTCGAGATAGGTGAGCACCTCAAAAGCTCAGTCAGACGTTTTTTATCCACTCGTTTCCTGGATCTGATCCACGATTTCTTGAAAATGATTGAAGTCGGATTGATTAAAAATTGACCAGTTACTAAACCATGATCTGAATAGATACCAGATGGGTACACCAATATATCTTCTAACAAAAAACCATCCGATGTGACAATCAAATCCAGGGTACCACCAAGCACATGGGTAGACTGATTAATTCTATTGACAAGATCAAAACTAGAGAAAATATTAGCAAGGGCTGTTGCATATATATCTGACGAAGTTTCTACGTGTATGTTGAAGTCACCTGCAACTACAATACTGCGACATAAAAGAGTGATTTTTTCTAAAACTAAAATTAATTCTTCAAAAAATAATTTAGCAGGAGGAGCAGAACCTGGCCTATAAATCACCAAAAAAATTACTGAAGTTTTCCGTAACGTCAATTTAAAACATATCGCTTCAAATGTAATTATCACTGGCAATAGAATTTTTACACATTTAAAGTGGTTTCTGAAATACGTTACCAAACCACCATGCCCAGGATCATTTAACCTAACTTGTTCCAAAAAACTAAAATCACGTGGTTTTGCCAAACTAAGACAAATATTATCAGATGATTTATGCCAAGTTTCTGTAAGCATCAAAACATCCAAGCCATCATTGAGCAGCCCATGAACATCATCAACATTTGGACCCAAAGATCTAATGTTTAACAGACCCACCTTAATTTTATTGACATTACCAGAAGAGTTGAAAACCATAGACGCATAATCAGAGCTAGTATGCTTTAGTTTTTTATTGGATATTTCTGTGTTTTTATTATTCTCAAATTTGACGGATCTCCCCTCACCCTGTACAAAAATTCCCCCGACTCCTGTTTCTGTTTATCTTTTGCTTCAGCTACCAGTTTTTTATATTTCTCACGCTGTTCTTTAGTGAAATCATGGCTTATGCTGACATTTTTTAATTCATCACTCAATTGTTTCACCCTCACACGATTTTCCATTATCATGTTTTTCATAGACTTTTCTTTAACCTCGATCAACATCGGACGTGGGTTGTCACCTTTTTTGCCAATTCTGTACATTTTCTTAATATCACTTTCCTTGATTTCATCATTTGTAATGACTGAAAGCAAATTCATAACAATTTTTTTATCATCATTGCGAGCATCAGCAGAGTTAGTTTCAGCTTCACTGAGCCTAAACAACACAACAATATATATATATATATATATATATATATATATATATATATATATATATATATATATATATATATAGTAACTTTGAGGATCGATTAGTTTTTACTCCGAATTCAAATGAACATTTACGAAAAATTTTTAACTAAAAACAAATTACTTTTTATAATAGATTGCTTATTGTACGATAAAATAAACAACGGATGGATAGATAAATGAATCACAAAATACGAGGAAAAATAAGTAAATGAATGAATGAATGAATAAATAAATGAATAAATAAACAAACGAATGAATGATTGAACGCATGCAAGAATGTATGAATGAATGAGTGATCGATTATACATTCATATAATCATATAGCAGATAACTGCAAGTTTTTGGACTCATTATATTTTAATAATTATCAGTTTTGAGTAATTTAATAATTATTCTTTTTACAATATTTTTATTACAATAGAGTTTCAAGATTTTAACTATTTGAAATAAAATTATCAGAAAACGTTTAGTGTCAACGAATTAAAATTACTTTAATTTTACTTGGAAAAACTCACTGGATACTAAATATGAGCAAAAAGATCATAACTATCATAGTTTCCACAAAATCAATGTCCATTTATTGTCCAATGCTTATACGTATATATACAGGGTTCAGGAATTTGTAATAGAAAAGTACATTAATTAACATGAAGTATGTAAAAATACAATTGATGACCATTTTATACACTGGCTGCAGAAATACTGACAAGATAATTTATCAGCTCATCCAACTACAATTTTTCGACATGTTGGTGAATATTGTTAAAAATGAATTAGAACGAAACAGTCGTTAAAAAATCAAAAGGTCTTTTAGGTTTACATTTCTACACATACCATGAACGTAACCAGGATGTTAGTTTATCGAGGATCTCAACCTTGTTGTAGTTACATCATTTTTTTCCAATGAAACTACCAATTTAAATTATTATTTATTTTGTCACTATTCTGGGAAAATTTTACGGTAAACAAAAATTGAGTACAATGAAACAAATTAACTGCAAGCAAAATAAGTAAATTTTTGAAAACAAATTATCCACAATCAAATTAGATAAATATAATAAACTAATTATATGCAAACAAAATAATTGAACACTTCAAAACAAATCAACGTTGAAAACTATTCCGCTGAATTCATGAATGACATTTCTTTAAATATCATTCTAATTGTATTGAGTAAGAAACTTCTACAATTTCGTTTTAAAATAAACTTTTAATAAATTTTTTAAAATCATTCTTTCTTTTTAAGCGCGCTAAAAAGAAGATAATATTTTGTTGAATCACTCAAGGCGGTACCAACCACTTTTATCCCGTGCTTTATCCTTTCAGAACATTGGCGACAATCGACCTCCGCAAAACCCGATCTTCAACACTTTGTAGTAGTTGAAATGCGGTGATATTTAACAAGTGATACAAGGACTTCACAAATGTTGTTCGTTGTTGACCGCGATCTCTTTTTTCTGCAATCTTACCAGTAGTTTTTAGATTTTCCATTCTTTCCTTCTGCATGATGTGACCAAAAAACTTTAACTGCCCCCGTCAAATTATCTCTCTTCATAACCGAACTGTTTTAATACATCCTCATTCGAAGTCTAACTAATTTTTATAATTTTTCTCAAAAACCACGTTTCAGCAGCGTTAATCTTTTTTCTATTTCATTAGAAATTGTCCAGGACTTAGAGCCAATTTAGCGAAAAATGTAACGCCCTAACAGTTTTAATTTTGTTGATATTCTGAATTTAATGTCGGTGAGGATGTTTTTCCTTTTAGAATATGCATCTTTCACCATAGCTATCCTTCTTTTGATATCCATATCACATTTACGCTTGAAGTAATCAGACTTCCAAGATAAAATTGAAGCTGTCAACTTGTTTTACCTGTTTACCATTAATGGTTATGGAGCAGATCGGGGTGGTTTTGATTTTATTGATAACCATGCACTCTGTTTGTTGATGTTAATATGCAAGCCTTTCATTTTACTTTAAAAAACCAGTTTGGAAACAATTGTTTGCAGTTTTTCCATTGAATTTGCTATAAGAGCTCTATCATCAGCATATCTTACATTGTTTATATTCACGCCTCCAATAGATATTCCAGGTAGATCTTTTATCTTTCTCATAATGATCTTACTATAGAGATTGTACAGGCTTGGAAAGAATACAAAGTCTTGCATAACAATTTTTTTTATTTCGACAATACTAGTTATCTTTTTACCAATCTTCATCGCTGCTCTTTGGTCCCAATAGAGGTTTTTGATAACTCTCGTGTCTTTTCGATCGATGTCCAAATTTGTCAATATTTCCATAAGCACCACGTGTTTCACGCTATCAAAAGCTTTGGTGTAATCGACGAAACATATAAACAAGTCTTTCTTCATTTCAATCGCTCGTTTACTGATTATTCGTAGCATGAAGATAGCGTTTCTTGTGCCACAATCCTCGACAAAACCAAATTGGACATTTGAAATTTTAGATCTGATTTTGCTTTGTGTTCTCATCATCAGAATTTTCAAGAGAAGTTTTGTGAGATGACTCATCAAGCTGATTGTTTGGTGTAGTTCACATTCCATTGCATTTGATTTTTTAAGCAATGCAATAAATATTGACTTGGATAGATCTTCAGAAATTTCGCCACAAATTTCTTCAACAACTGTCTCATCTGGACCTAGCGCTCCATTTGATTTCATTTTGGAAAGAGCGGCACGAACTTCAGATCAAAGTATTTTTGGTCCTTCTACGTCTTTTTTAATAGGAGGCTTTTCACCACGGATATCATCAAAAAGATCGTTAATGTATTTAGTCCATCTTTCAAATACTTTTTTTCTTTAAGATTACTTCATTGGATTTAGCTTTCATGCATCCAAAAATGCTACAAGCCCTGTTTTCAGTGATTTCTTTGATGTTATTTGTTTTGTGTTTGTCGATGGTTTTCTTGGCAAAAGTTGTGGATAATAGTTTGCATTTACTTGCTGTCAACATTTTCATTTATATATGAGTTGATTCATGACAAATAAAGTTGTATAAGATAAAAAATAAGTCAACTTCTATTTATATCCTTTTAAATTTATTAGTAAATTTTTAGAAGTAGAAAAGTTTTAATTGATCATTCATAATATTTTTTTAGTTTTATTAATAGAAACAGTTTGTTGGTGATCATGTAATTTTTTTTTAAACCAAAAAGAGTTTGTATATATATATATATATATATATATATATATATATATATATATATGTGTGTGTGTGTGTGTGTGTGTGTGTGTGTGTGTGTGTGTGTGTGTGTGTGTGTGTGTGTGTGTGTATATGTATATATATGAATTTATGAATTGCTCAATTTTTTATGAATAATAAGAGTTCACTAGAAGACGTTTGTTTCTAATACTTGCGATTTTTTTACAAGTGAGGATATTATTTTTTCTATTAAACTTTTAAAAACTGATATTGATGTATTGAAAATTGATAAACAAATGGGCTGAACACTTAGGATAGAGCTCTTCACCGGACCTCTCCACTTGCCTGCACATCAATATACCTTCAGATTTTCACGCAATTTGTTGATTAGAAAATCTAAATGTCAACAAATTTGAAACTGCAATTTTGCCATATTATTCTACCTACAAATAAAAACAATGAACAGAAGCTGATTCAGTTTCACTTTCTTCAGTTGTGTTCGAATTGTTAAGAAATTAATGTTTTTGCTGCTTCTCCCATTTCAGGGCGGAGACTAATTTCAGGCCCCGAACTAGGGGGGCAAGGGGGGCAAAGGGGGCAAAGGAGGCAAGCGCCCCAGGCGGCAAATTTTAGGGGCGGCAAATTTTAGACATTTTTTAAAAATTTGAAAAATTTATTCGCATTTGTTATAATATGGATGATGGATCAAAGTAAATTTGATTTTTTTATATTACTCATTTTTAATTTTTTTTAAATTTTTTTTGGTTTGTTTTTTTTTCTATGTAAAGATTAAAATATAAACGCAAATATTATGAGCAGAATCTTTATCTTATTTCTTATTTGCAATCTTTCCCTTATTTGATTTAAAATCACGCCGCGAAAAATATCGTATTGTATAGTAGGTTAGTTTAGTCGTTTTCATGTTAGAAAATAAAAATGGATGGCAGAAAAAAACTTAGTGGAGCTGAATACAGAAGAATTGCTAAAGAAAAACGAAAAAAAGAAAGCGATGTGCTGTCACTAACGCCAAAATTAGAAACGTTATTCAACAAATCTAATGTTAATGTTAGTATTATAGTGAATAGTGATAAAGAGGGCTCAAAAGAAAAATCAGGTAAATATTTTTATTATTTCAAATTTTATTAATTGAATAATGGAACATTATGCACAATATGTATTAATTATGCATCCTTTTGAATAAAATAATTTTTTTAAATATTTCGTATTTAGATGACATGGAAGCTAAAGAAGAGATCAAGGAGAAAGTATTTTGGCTCAACTTCAATCCAACAAATGAAACTGTAGAAAAATTATTACCTCAACAAGACCCCACAACTAGTCTTCAAAAGACATCTAAGTTCCTTTTTGATTTCAGTGATCCTGGTTCATGGCCACAAAGTTTTTCTGATTCAGAAAGATGTTTCATAACAAAAATGAGATTTGAAAATTTAACTGAACCAAATTTGAGTAACAGTAGCCGAGAAGGACGCAATTTAACCAAAGACTGGTTTTATAAAGTTCTCAAAAATGGAGAAAAAATGAAAAGATCATGGTTAGTCTATAGTGAAAGTAATAAAGCTCTCTATTGTATTCCCTGCAGACTGTTTCCACACTTAGCTTCAAATCAAATGTCTTCTTTAGCTAAAGAAAAAGGACTTACCAATTGGAAAAAACTTAATGAAAAGTTGCCTGAACATGAAAATTCATCTAACCACAAACTTTGCTTTTGCTCTTGGAAAACATTAGAATCTTGTTGATGCAGAACTCCAAGATCAGATCCAACAAGAAGAGTTGCATTGGAAAGCGGTATTGTGCTGTATTGTAGATGCTGTTCTATTCTTGGCAAAACAAGGAAGTCCATTTTGAGGAACTAAAGAAAATTGTGATTTCAGCAACCCATCTAATGGAAAGTTCTTGAATACAGTTGAACTTATTTTGCATTATAATGTTCCTCTTCAACAACACATTGAGCGGCATAAGAAAGGACAAATATCCTATTTTTTCCATAAAATACAAGATGAGTTTTTAGAAATTATTGCTAATAACATAAAGCAAGGAATAATACAAGACATTTTGGATGCAAAATATTTTTCCTTATTATTTGACTGCACTCCGGATATCAGTCACAGCGAACAAATGACACAAGTAGCTCGTTACGTCAAAAAAGATACAACTGAAATAGAAGAAAGTTTTATTGATTTTTTTAGAGTTAGTGTCAAAACAGGTGAAGGTCTCAGTCAAGAAATTTTGAAAAAATTAGATGCAGATGGACTTAACTTGGAGAATTGTAGGGGGCAATCCTATGACAATGGAGCAAATATGGCTGGAAAATATAAAAGAGTCCAGTCCAGATTATTGCAGAAAAACCATCTGGCATATTTTGTTCCATGTGCTGCACACTCTCTCAATTTGG